AGTGAAATAATCAGTTACTTTTTCACAAATATTAAAGAATTATTTTCTTAATACGAGCGCATATTTATTTCTGAAAAGTTACTTGTAAGTTAGTTTTGTCTTATTTCAACTGTACGAAGGTATTTGCACTAAAAACTAAACCAAAAATACTTGGTAAGATTTTGTGCTTTTGCAGTTTGTTCCTGGAAGTTTATAATCTTGCTTGCTTGGAACTAAATGTGTCAACAATTAATCAAAATGTTTATCATAACATATGATAAACAAGACCCGTTTCTGATAGAGAGTTTATTGCTAAGTTTCTGCAATAAATAATCAAAATCATTGCATTTAAGTGATGCGAACTTCCACCTGCAGGTGGCAGTATTTCTTAGCATTACTTGTTCTTTTGCAGGTTATTTCACTAATAATGAGACATTTCCTGCCACTAGAACTGGGACTTTTTTTTACAATTAATATTAATAATTTTTTGACTTAAAACTAACTCCTATATCTTGTTGAAAAGTTACTTGTAAATTAGCTTGGTCTTGATTCAAGTGCACTGAAAACTAGATCAAAATACTCGGTAAGATTTTGTACTTTTGCAGTGAATACAGTGTTTCAGTAGAAAAACTTGTCACACATTTGTCATTTTGCTCATATTGTATCCAAATACTTTTACCTTCAGGTTCTACAAACTGCATGAGAGGAAATGTGAACCCATAGTCATGACGGTACCTCGTAAGGTGAGTTTCTAAACGCAGCAGAAACACAGTGGGTGACGTTGAGGTTAGCTGACCGTTTCCTGCTTTGGCTGTGCAGTCGGATCTGTTCCAGGAGGATCTATACCCAGACACCGTCGGACCCGAGCCGTCGGTTGAAGCCGATGAGTGGTTTGATGGGAAAGAAGCTCCGCCTGTTCTGATTTCCCTAAAGGACGGTTTTGTAGCCACCACCAAGGCCAAGGAATTCAAAGTCCATAAGAGTCTCCTGAAGACTACGACTGCTTCTGCGGGGAGCCAACTAGGCGGCAGTGGGGTGAGAAAACTGTCTTTTCTACTATTCTCAGGCTTGATTATCCTGAATTTGACCATTTCTGCTCACTGACGCTCACTTCCTGTGTGTTTCTCAGGAGGTGGAGTCTCTAAGGAAGGAGGTGAAGGACCTGAAAGCAGCTTTAGAGGAGCTGACCAAGCGCGTGAAAGAACTGGAGACCAAAAACTAAACGGACAAAAATTCAACAAAATTTAAAGACAGAAAAACACAAAGCGAAAAGTCAAAAGTAAAACAATGGAGCCAAAACAGACAGGGAGAAAACTGCTGTTAACCTTTGGCTGTGAATTAAAGGGGAAAATTAAAACAGCAGTTGTTTGAAAATGGTTTTAGCCTGAAGCTTGAATTTGTTTTGTTTGTCTGTGGGAACAAGTTTTGATTTATATTTTAATATATGTGTTAAAAATAAAGGTTTTCTGTATTTTCCAAAGTCTTCTTTTGATTTGATTCTTTATTCATTTTTGCAATACAAATATAAAATATTACAAAAGTATTCAGAAATATCAACAAGATCAATAAAAACATCTCAATAAATACAGTTAATTAAACCTAAAATTCAGTTTCTCATAAAGTTGAAACTATATACTGAAGAAAATCAGGCTCAGATAAAGCGATTAAATTGAAATATCAACTCAAATGTTTACACATAAATATGAAAAAACATTGTCACTTTTGCTAATTAAAAATAGAAAACCAAGAAACCACATTTAAATAAATATTCAGTCTTTTTTCTGGAAGCTCAAAAGTGAGGCGTTTTCTCTTACGTGAGATGTTTACGACTTAAATGTATGAAAATCTGCTCCAGAAATAATGTTCTATTTTTATTTAGATAAGTTAGTCAGTCGAAGCGCATTACGTATTACTCCGCGATTCGCCTGACTGCCGTAGCCGTAACGTAATGTAAAATATTTTTACAGTACCATAAGGTCGCTTCGAGGTTAGAATTAATCCATATTAATTCACTAAAGGGGGATGCTTTACTTCAGAACAATATAGGTGCTGTGGATTATAAGGCATACTGTCGTGCTTTGATCAAATTAATGGTTTAAAATTAAAGGTGCGCCTTATAGTTTGGAAAATACGGTATTAATTTAATTCAATTTGGATAAGGCTGGAGCCGTCGTAATTTTCTGTAACACCCGCAGGGGGCAGGCTTCACCTTCCGCTTTTGTGTGTGTGTTGGAGAAGCGCAAGAAGAGAGAGAATGAAAGAAATGGCGGGAACAGTGAGAATTGAGAGAAATTTGGGACAAAATTAAAGATAAAAAACGACATAATAGTGTGGAAAAGAAATGCTGGATGGTGTTACATCGCTGACGAAACTGGACGGAGTTGTTTTCTCTGGAAACTTCGGTGAGTGAAGTCACTGAGAGAAGCTAACGGCTAGCACAACCGTTGGATGACAGTTGGTTAGAAAACTGACTATATTAGGATCATTTAGCACAATCAAAAGTCAATTAAAACCAAACAAAAGCATCTTTAAAGCCTATCGGAGCATTTTGAACATTTTTATTTGTTAGATTTAGTTAAAATGTGTTCATAAGGTGTTTTGTGTTAAAACAAAATGAATGCAATATAATAAAAATAAAACATGTTCTGATTTCATGATGTTTCATGACAGTTCAAATAATTTTAAACAGGTTCTGTTTGTTAAATGAAAGTTTTATGCAGTGATTAAGCATATTTAATTTGTGGTGATTTTATTTGTATCTATTTTAGTTTAATTTATTTTATTTTGTTCTGCATATTATGTGTAGAATAATTTTCTTTGTTTTTATTGATGTGATGGCGAGTCAGATCCTTGGACCACACACTGAAGATTCCTGCTAGAATACTGGCCAGCTGCTTCAGGGACCTGCTGTGAACTCGCCTTCGAAATCTCAGGATTTTCCAGCTGAGGAATCGAACCACAGACACTCAAACTTACCCAGGTAGTGTAGATTAGAGATCCAAGTATCTGAAAAAAATAACATGAAAGAGAACAGAAAAACTAAACCTTTCTATCACAACATGTATCTAAAGACCAAGGGGAGCAATTTATTCCCTTGGTCTTTTCATTTCATATTTTCTTATTTTGTTTTGTCAAAGAGCTTTATTAGGGGTTGGCAATATTGGCAAAAACAGATCTTATGACATATTTTTTTATCTCGAACACAATATCGCGGATAATGTTCCACATTTTCTACTTTTTTAATTAGATACGGCCAAACAGATGTGTAACTTCAAGAGTTTAGTTTCATTTTCCTGCATAAGTAGTCGCCAAAATAAACTAATATATTTATCAATATATACAAAAACACAAAATATATTTAGTGGATCAAAGAAAGAAATCAACTGCGATGTGTACATAAAAATACTTAAATACTGTAATAAAGCAGACTGTAAAACTAATGTTCAGCAGAAAGTGTTTCAAAGTGTTTTCCACTCATGTTTGTATGAACTCAAACATTATATGTAAAACTAATAATCTTGTTTTAATATATTTTCACCAATCTATACCAAAATAAGGATATTTGTTCATTTTCATGTGTTTTGGACATCTCCACTAGTTTGGTTTTTATCTGTCATGTTCCTGCAGCCGCACTCTTTCCTTCCCATCTCCCTGCAATGCTGTTTGCATTGCTCTACCAACCATACGCAAAGTGTGTTTAATTTTTTTCTTCAAGGAATATCTGCCTTGGGACAAAGAGCAATAAGCGCCTTCAACTTTTGCTTCTTCTAATTTATTTAAATGTTCAAGAGGTAGCTGTAACTAGCTAACGTCTTGTTCTCTGTTTCTGGGTAGTCCAATCGTTTCTGGTGTTTCCAATCATCCGTGTGCCGACAAAACCTACAGAAAATATTTCTTCTGTTTCATATAACCTGGTGGCTTTGAACCTTGCGCTAAGCTTCGAGTTATTATTTTATTTGTCAGGAAGACATTGATGTTTCAGAAAGTTTCTATGTCTGACCGGTTTATTTTGTCTGTGTGGAGAGCAGAGTTGAGTATGGAGTAGCTCTGCCTAATCCCTTCATTCTCCTCAAACATTCATCCTGATGACTGTGAGGTGTTGAGGAAGCATCTGAAGATGCTTTGGCAGCAGAGATGACCCAGGAATTTGATTCCTCTTATTTCTCTGCTATTGTTGTCAAAAAGAAGGATGCCAATGTTAGCCTGTGTATTGACTATTGCACAATAAATGACGTGACCATAAGGGATGCTTAAGAACTCCCAAACATTGAGGACACTTTTACAGTACTTTTTGGACCCAAATAGTTTTTAGTAATGGACTTAAAGTCTGGATCAAATTGAGATGGAGGAGGAAGACAAGCCCTAAACTTTTTTTATCTGCCCTCTGGGGTTTTATGAGTTTAATCGGATGTGGCATGCAGCACTTTCCAGAGGTTAATGGAGATTTGCATGGGGACATTAATCTCCTTGGAAGTGTTGGTATTCCTTCATTACTTCATTACTGCTGTCAGCACTGTAGGTTGACAGTAGGCTAAAAGTGATTTTTTTAAATAACTTTTTTAATCATAACTGATTAAGAAAGTTTGAAGCTGTGTTTACTTTTATACACTTGTTCTTCTCACCTGGAGGTAAGTGATAAGAAGCAGGATGTGGTTCTTAGTCACTTTTGCTGAGTGTCTAAAAACCACTCTATAACCTTTACATTTCATTTGTCCTCATTGCAAAAACTTGAAACCTTTTTGATGTCTGTGAAGCAACCCTGGGAAACTTACTTCAGTAGACACATCTTGGTTCATTAGTTTGCACACCGTTTCCAGCTGCACAGAAAAACACCTTGACTGTGATACAAAAAAACATTACATTTATATGATACATAAGGAACATCATTTAATACGAATAAAACTTCTTCACATGACACTTGTTATGAATAGATGATCTGTAGAAATAAAACTGCAGACAACAAAGCAGGCATTAAGCAATTTATTAATGTATTTGCAAGTGGTGAGTGAAATAACATGTCCAGGAAAAGTGAAGTACGAATGTGAACAGAGGATTTGGTTGTGGTCTGATCTGGTTCTTAGTTTTGTAGTTAGGAGTGGAATCAAATATTCAGATAGTCACAACTTAAAGCTTGTGACCTGAATAAAGTTTCAGGATGGTGGCTCTAGAGGACTGGACTTGGGAACCCCTGTCCAGGGATTTAATCCATTCTACTACTCAATCTACTTGATTATATTATAATTATAAGTTTCTTCCACTGTCTATGTCTGGATTTAATGCATCTGGCTTCTTCTTGTTCAAAGTTATGCTGCATGTCAGTGACATAAAACGCACATTGACCATTTAGACTGCAAATACTTTGAAAATAATAGAAAAAGACTTGATTGAATACCACATTAGGATGTGGCATAAATGTGATTTAGGACTGCTGTGAAAAAGTTAAACATGGGTTCCATTTGCTTGCTGTGTGAATGAAGCTTTAAGCAGTCAACCCTTTTCATAAAGCCTTTATTGCCTGTCGTTGCTGGGAGCTGCAGCAATGTGAACGTGTTCATCGGTGGTTCCTCCTGAGCTGCTGGATGTGGGTCTGCTGAAATAGCAGAGCAGACCTCCAGCCAGAACCATCAGCACACCAGCTATCCAGCCAAAGTAGATGCACTCTCCCATTTCTATCAAGGAGTTGCCAAATTTTCCCAAAGCAAAATACATTGACCATCTGACCGAGGCAATCATTAGGAGGCCGGACAGCACCAGGCCCAGCCCAGGCACCACACTGTTCTTAGGTGTGGCGTCTTGCTTCTGTACAAATGTGGGGAAATAAGCTCCAAAGACCAAACTGAAGAGGCTGAAGGCGCTGACCGTGCAGCTGATGAAGGTCATGGCTCGAGCGGCTTGCAGGTCGGAGCTCATCGCCTTCAAGGATTTATAGTTTTTGCACAACTCTTGCCCAGAGCACTCCACCACACACCAGTTCCACAGCCCCTGCATTGTGGTCTACTTGCACAAACACAGAAAGGGTCATTGTTAGTGATTCATAGATATTGTTACCACCCTTTAACTTCCCCCAAAATGTTAATGTTTGAAGTTTTTGCAAAGCCATCTAACATGAGGTAAAGAAGCTAGTCAGATAAGTTGCTTAGCGTAGATCCCTTTTTAAAATATTTCATTACCTCTGTCATAGTTTTGTTGACTCCTATGAAATGTGTCACTTTCCAGCGAGGGACAACACAGCAAATAACCATCCAAACTCGTCCGAGAACTCCAAGCGCCAAACACACCATCTGAACCGTCGACAATCCCATTCTAGAAAAAAATAAAATCAGGATGTAAATAATTTAAGTTGTTGGTAAATATTCTTGGCAACAATCATCTGTCCATCCATTGTCTTTTTCTTATGCAAGATGGGGTCTCCTGTTTGTGGGACATGCCAAGAAAAACCTCCAAATGGAGACGCTCACAAAGTATCCTGATCAGACTCAAACTAAATCATCTGGCTTACATCCTTCCCACTGTACGATGAAAATCCTCACCTCGTCTCTAAGGCTTGGTCTCACTGTCCATGTGGAGGAAGCTCATGTCAGAAATGTTTTATCTTGTTTCTGGTGGGCTTTTAACTTTTTTTGATCATCCCTCAATTTGTTTCAGATAATGGATGGGAAACTTCAGGCCTCTAGTCCAGAACAATAGACTGACAGGCTACATTTAGCGGTACATTGGACACCCAATACTCGTGGTGGTTATAACCGGAGCCGTCTGCAAATAGCTAAAATCCACAAACACAAGAGAAATGCCTCTTTTTATAGTTCAAACTCCAAATATATCTTAAAATGCATTAACACACAGAGTGGGAACTGTCTTATCGCTAACATAGAACCTAACTTCCACTCTCTTCCTTATATCAGTGGCCAGGAAAATGAACTCAGTGCTGCTCTTCTGATTCCAGCCTGTAGCACGTCAAGTAGCATCTTTGGATTTTAGCTTCTCAAGCTGCAAGCAAAACTATTTACATTAAACCTTCAAGACATAAACCAGTTACCACCATCCAAAGTAAAGTCATAGTGTATTAGTCTCCTTTTCAACCTGTTTGCTTCTTTCATGGTATACCCGGTTTGTAATCACTCTTCCATCTCGTCAGCAATCTACTCACCAAGTTTTGAAACTCTAATTTACAAACGTTCCTCATTGAATTTAACTGTTGAATATCAGAGTTTCCTTTGTCCTCTGTCTATGCTCGGTTTTCACTGATGTTCCGTCATATTTGGTTTTCATTTTGTTGTTAAAGTTCTTTCACTGAGTACTTTATTAACTCTCTACATGACATGTTTCTTGTTAATTCTTCAAGATTACAGAATAACTGGGGGAAAAAATATTTATCTGTGATCAATAGTATTGAGAAAAATACTTTCATAGAGAGAACCCAGGGTCCAGAAAAGATGACAATAATCTCTAAAACTCAGAACATTTGATCTCGTCGGGGAAAATTTAATTAAAAGGTGATTAAATTTTCTGACTATTGATAAACAGTCCAGTTGTTACTTTAGGTTGAACATTTAGCGAAGATAAAAATGAACAAAGTTGCTTACCTCTGCTGCAAATAAACTTTGAATATTCTGCATGAAAACAATGTGGGTTATGGGAAATATTCAATAAAATCTACAGTTCTCTGAACTGATCTCAGTTGTGATTTATTTTATCCTTCTGTCAGCACTGCTACACAACTGAATGAGGAAGCTCGAAGCTGTCTTTTACTTTTAAACTCTTGCTCTTCTCACCAAATGAGTTTGAAGCGAAGTAAGTGATAAGAGGTAGGATGTGGTTTTTAGTCAGTTTTGCAGAGTTTCACGTATTTATTATCCTTCACTTTTCATTTCTCTACTTTGCAAAAGCTTGAAATTCTTTTGATGACACTTGTTCTGGAGAGATGATCTGTCCAGCAAGACAAGTGCAGATTTAACAACAGGTTTAAGAGATCTATTAGAAATGGAATATTTTCCAGTGGAATAGAGATGATTTGGTTGTGCTCTTATCTTGTTCTTAGTTTTGTAGTTGTGGGTGTGTGGTTGCTGTCTATATGATAGTCTGAGGCTGATAAACATAAATTTGGAAGGATGTTGTTATTTTTGAGAAGTTGATTTGAAGGCTGTAACTGTTGTAGCATTTTCTAAAACATCAAGTTCTTCTCTCATGTTGGGAGAGTCCATCAATAATGCCAGGAAAGCTAATTTCCACTGCTTATATGTGTATTTTTCTTACTGGTGTATGTAAAAAATGTGAGAAACTCTTATTTTTGCATAAGAGTAAAAAAAAAAGAGGACCCTTTATTTAAATTTATTTATTTCTATGAAAAAAATAAATAAATTGTGGAGGGCCTCCTGTCGGGCCCATAGAATTGTCCTAACTTTTCCCCCCCATGTTGCTCCCCTGCAATGATGTAAACAGTTTTGAATAATTTGATGTGGCTCTTCAGCTCCCTTAAATGTGCCAGCAGTTGAGTGTGCCACCCGAATTTGAATATTCCTTCAATGCCTTAGTTCTCTCCATAAACATGGAGAGAATTGTTCAATAGCTATTCTTTGTCTGTGATAAATGATCATGATCAGCAGATAAAGGGTTAACTTATCGGAAAACAGCCAATGAGCTGCTGCCAAATGGCACAATGTCCCGCCCACCACCTCTGTTGCTTCTTCCTGTTTCCTTTCGGCTGCTATTTGGGCTAACTTTATGCTAATTTTTTCTTAGTGCTTTAATTTAACATATAATTTAAGGTAGAAAACTTTTTTGCATACGATTTAAACGGCAGATGTTTACCACATTATTTTCTATGATGTACTTCAAATGTATATATTTTTTAATTGTTTTAAAATTCTGTATTTAAAGTATTAAAACTTTAATAAAGTCCTGTTTTTTTTAAAATGCAATTAATTCATTTTTCCGAAAACATTTGCATTTGACAAAGTTTTAATCTCTATTGTTCAGTGTAAAGAAACCAACAGAACAAATTCATAATAAATGATTCGTAGGCAGTTTAAAAAAAAAAAAACCCACAAAGACCTTAAAAAATGTTTGAAATAAAAATGTGCAAAGTACAATCCTTTGAGCACCAACAGAAAAAATATGAAAACAATAATCAGATCGAGTTATTAGCATAAAGTATTTATAATCTCTGGTGTCCCAGTTTGTACCAAATCAACCTCCTTGTCTATCTGTCTTTTGGACACCAGTCCCTTCCATAAAACCTCTAAATTATCATGTCATTTAGACCTGAAGCTCTGTTGTATTTGATGGTTTCACCAGAGCTGCTGGATCTGGGTCTGCTGAAGCAGCAGAGCAGAACTCCAGTCAGGATCAACAGTGCACCGGCTGCCCAGCCGATATAGATGCTCACTCCAATTCCTCTCCTTATGGCTGACATTAGTGCAGGGTTGTAGAAATCTCTTTTTACGGTATATGCTGACCAGCTGACCGGGATGATCACCAGCAGGCTGGCTAGCAGCAGGCCCGCTGCGGCCACCAGTCTGAGTTTGGGCTTGGTGCCTTGGTTCTGAAAACATCTGGTCAAGTCAGAACCAAAGAACAGGGTGATGAGGCTGAGACCACACAGGATGCAGCTGATGACCGTCATGAGCCGGCCAGCCTGAAGGTCAGAGGGTAACGCCATCACAGAGTCGTACACTTTGCACTGCAATCGTCCAGTACTTTGTGTCACACAGTTCATCCATAGACCTTCATAAATGACCTAAAGACATAGAAACAAAATGTTAGATATTCTAAATATTCTACATGTTAAAGCAAATACAAAATTCTATTTACTGAAATTTTGCAGATTTATTTGGGAATGAATCATTTGCCAAACCTGGGCTGAAAGGCCACTCAGAGGAAGAAGCCATCAGCACCATGAAAAGCCAGATTAGCATTCGTTGATGTAACCTGACTGTTCTGTGGTCTAAAAAAAACTAGAAAAATGTCTGGCAATGTATGGTATCAGAAGGAAAGAACCTTATGTGGAAATGGTGAAGCAGCATCCGAAGGCAGGAAGTTAAAGTTTGGGGTCAAATTGATCTTTCACACAGACAATACCCAAAGCATAAAGCCAGAGCAGAGCAGAGCTGAAAAGCTCACATATATTGTTTCAGTCAAGCTATCGTGAAAAAATGTAGAAGGAAACCTAAATCTTTTTATCTGAGTCTCGTTCTGTATAAGTCAAATACAGAGAAAAGAATATGTGAACTGAAAAGAATGTCCTAAAAAAATTTAATCTTTTGGCATTTAGCAAAAAAAAAAAAACAATAATGTTTGTAATTAGAAACAATTTGTAAGTTAAACCAGTCAGATTAAAAAAAAAATTTTTTTCTTTATTTTAATCAAAGAGGTTCAGTTAAAAAAAACAACGTATAATTCCCCCCAAAAGTTACATTAAGCTAATAGAAAACTTACTGATAATATTGAATACCTAGTGTTTCAGTGTCATGCTGCTAGAAACAGACAGTAACACTATACTTACAATAATAGTCGAGTAATAAAACATAGAGCCAACAAAACATAATATTTTGTCTACTTCAATCATAAAATGCGTTGTGACGCTTTCTGAATCATAATCTGAGTTACCTGTGCAGTCACAAGGTTCGCTCCTATGAAAGCTGTCATTTTCCATCTAGGGTTGGCACAACAGGTGATGACCCCAATTAGGCCGATGACCCCGAGGGTCACACATACCATCTGAACTGCTTTTGATGCCATTCTGCAAAAACTAAAAACCAGAAATCAAATAGTTAAAGCAGTTTGTGTAATATATTCTGAGTTCCTTTGGCTTTGGTCATTCAGTGGCAGCTGGTCAATAGGGGGCGCCGTACTCTTAGATGTGGAAGGAAAAGATCTAAAAAAAAAAAATTACATATAGACCTTTTGAAAAAAAATATGTCACCCTGGCTGTTTTCAGCTCCCTTTATTGTTACGTTCTGTTACACGACTCGTATTTTGCTGCCTTAGTTTTTGTTAGTTTTCATTTTTACATTAAATTCTCCAGTTGCACCGTTTAAGTTGCTTACAATGTCGCAATTCAGCAATATTTGCATCAGAAAACCCTGATTATTAATGTGTCACTTCATCTCACCAAACATTAGTTGTGTTTCCATTAACCATAGAATTACACAAATTGAAATTATGAAATTTAATTTGCTTGTTGGAAACATACCAATTTCTTTTTAAAAAAAAAAAGTTTTTGTTTTTTCAGCCATATTGAAAGACTTTTTTTCGCATCACGAGTCACAAGATCAACAGACAGACGTTGGTCCTGGCAGAAAAGAGGAAGATGGCAGGAAGTGGTAGAAGGAGGGTAATTTCTGTTCTTTATTCTCACAGAATTACACAGTTTATAAAAAGTTGTGCGTCATTTATGTTGAATCTATCACTCTTCTGTAAAATCGGCAGTTTCCCCCAAAAGCTGCGTATGTAGCTTCTACCAGTATTCGGGGCTTGTTGCTGCAAAGCCTGAACAAAACGCCGCCGTCTCTGAACACAAATAATTAAAATTTTCTCCTTCAGTTGCGTCACTAAAACCACGACCCAACATCCATCGAATAAATCCTCAGATCATCCTGAAAAGCTTGAAAATATATAAAAAAAAAAGGTAATTTGATCCACATTAACTGATTTTTGTTAATTAAAGGAATACATTCATTTAATTATTCTGTTTTGGTAAAAATGTCTTGAAAAAGTGCTTACCTTTTTAAAAGTGTTGGAGGTTCTTCTGTTGCATCTGATCTTTAAACACGGTGGATCTTCGAATGTGAAATAGTGCAAAGTTTGCTTCGCTTATACCACTGAATTAGGAAGTTCAAAACTCTACCGTTCATACATCTGCTGTGGTTTGATGTCAGCAGATTAAACTGTTGTCATCTGAGCCAAAAGGCAGGATGACTGCGATGTACAGATCTTAAAGATCTTTACAAAAGGGAAGAAAAACCCAGAAACAAAAGAAGCAGAACCAGCAAAACCTTTTCTTTATTTCTTGTTTGCAAATGAAAAATACAGAAGCAAAAGCTGAAATATAAGATAAAATAAAAGTCAGTTGGTAACACTTTATTTGAAGGGTTTGCATTATTTTCTCAAACAATATTCTTTTACATATGAGATGAAGAATCAAACTGCTGAAGTAAAGTTTTCTGTAAGTTGCTTAATTTTCTATGTAATTTGTAAAAAAAATTCTATGAAATTGAATTTTTTGATGAATCTTATTTATTTTTCCAATCACATCAGTTTCTGACCAAAGGTTATAATTTGTTGTGATTATTGTAGATAAACAAATGTTTTGTCAATAAAACGTAAAGTATAAAACTCGCTGAAGCAAATCTGGTTAGCAATTATGTTGACAGTTTTTTAAAACTGGAATTAATAAACCATGAAAAAACAAAATGGATTTAATAAGCAAACAGAAAATACATAATAAGGTCACTGAAATGAGATTTTTCTACAGCCATTTATGAATTTTATTTTTTTTACTTGGGATCTTTGTGAAGTCAAATTTTAATTGACATTTTCAGAAAAATTCTGGAAATAAAAGTCAGATGTCTTACAGAGTACATGCCGTGAAAGTGATCATTTCCAAGTTGTTACCAAATCAACTCCCTTTTCTACCCGTCTATTGGACAGCAGTGCCTTCCATAAAAACTAATTAGCTTTTATTACGTAAGTGGCTGACGATTTCTCCAATGCTGCTGGATTCGGGTCTGCCGAAACAGCAAAGCAGAACTCCAGTAAGTATCAACATTAAACCAACTAGATAGCCGATATAGATGCTTGCTCCCAGCTTCACTCCCTCCACCCAGACATTTACCTCCCGGTTGAGAGGGATGATCAGCAGCAGGCCGGTCAGCACCAGGCCCACACCGGCCGCCAGGATCATTATGGTCTGGTTTTGGTTCTGAACACATGAGGTGAAGTCGGAACCAGAGAACAGGAGGAGGAGGCTGAGAATACCGAGCATGCAGCTGAAGACGATCATGGCCCGGGAGGCATGAGGCGGTGGGACCTTTGTCATGTTTTCAAACGTTCCACACACCTGCACTCCATTGCTGTGCTTCACACATATCTTCCACAGACCTGCATGAGCTTCCTATCCATCTGAAGTCAGAGAAAATATATAAATTAATATCGCTGAGTCTTTAAACGGTTTATGAAAGCCCGGTTGATGATGTAAGGATTCTAAGTTTCTGATGAGGCGTAAAACTGCAAAGTCAAAGTTTCATATGTTATTATAAAGACGAACTGATTAGAAAATACAATAACGCATAAAATAGTAGTTGATAAAAAAGCATAAAAGCTAACTAATACTAATTATCATGCTAATTTCAACCATAAAATGTGTTTTGATTATATGATTACCATATTATTATGATATCCAACAGCCCATTCAGGGAGAGCACAGCAGGTAATGACCCCATCAGTTCTGTGTTAACCTATAAAAAAAATAAAAATAAAAAACTGGATTGAATAATTTCCTGCAATATATTCTTGGGGGTTCCTCTGACCAAATAAATAAATTTCAAATAAATTGAATGGAATATAATTTGTAATGAGACAACTTCATAAAACATCGTTAATAAAAATGTATTAATGATAAAAGAACTTTTGGTCTCAAAAATATTTATTTTGTGCACATTGATGTATTTCTTTTATATTAGCATTAAAAATTTGTTTAAAAAAAGACAAAAACTTCTTACCTTCCTCATGTTTCTGTTTCTTAGGACTTCATGTAACCATGTGAGATGATGCTGTATGTGGTTGCTTCTTCACTACGGATGTTTTTTGCACATCTGTGGTTTTGTACCACGTCAGAGTTTGTGGTTACCTAAGCGAGGATGTATCTTTGGTGACCTGTAGCAAATGTTTAGTGGAAAGCGTTGATTCTGTCTGCAGTAAAAACAACAGAGTATCTCAAACTCGGCTACAAACCTTTCAGCTGGTTTTGAATGTGGACAAAACACAATCAATGGTTTTCTTGAGATCAGAAATCGATCTCAGCATAATGTCTTATTTTATAAAAGTGGGGGTGGAGCTGGTTTTTACCTTTAACCTTTCATTAATATCTCCAAAGCCAAAGCAGCACAAACGTAGCACAAACGTTTGAGACAGTGAGGGATGGGGGCAACTTCACTCAGGTCTTTAACTTGGCTTCTGATTCCTGCCTCATCCTGTAGGAAGCTCTTAATATTTGGGAAATTACATTACACAGCGCAAAACAGAGAGAACTGTTGCGTTCAAAACACCAGAAAGTTTAGACCATGAAGGATAAATTATCAAAAGTGGGATTAAAGAGCAATAAAAAAAAAAAAAGAAAATTAATTTCACTCGACTGAAAAATGCTAAACAAAACCTTGAAACAATTTATGTACATTCTGCCAGAATGGTGAACTGAAACTATCACGTGCTGTTTTTAAGACATGCATAACTATGGATCATTCACGTTTTTCACCATGGCTTCTCATTTAAAACGTTTCCAGATACATTTTCTGATTTCAAAATGATACATTCAAACTCAAAATACAATTCTGTCTATTTCACCTTCAATGTAATGTTCAAATAACCATAGAATAATAATACTGAATTAACTAATCTCTGTTAATTCAGTATTATTGCATCTTTTGTTTTATTGTAAAAGTAAGCAGTGTTTTGTAATTACTCATCGTGCGACTACACTGTAAAACAATAAGTCTTACCAAGTGTTTGTCTAGTTTCTAGAGCAAATATCTTGATCCACTTGAAACTATACAAAACTAACTTGTCAGTAACTTTTCATCAAGAAACATCTTGTTGTCTTTGGTATGAGCTTCTATTGGTTGTGCTGCAGATGTCTTTGCTGGTTGTTGTCTGTTTTCTGGGCTGTGTGTGGACCAACCGACCGCAGTTTCAGTTTTCTTCTGATGGCGGGGAGCGCTGTTGGAGCTACCTGTTAGCATTAAGCTGCTATCCGTCTGAACTGAGCGATCAGGGGTAGAAGTTGGGAAGGTCACTCTGTCAGAGTATTGAAAATTAGATCTGGATCTGGTTTTTTCTTAGTTAAATAAAGGAAATAAACTTTGAGAGCTTGAAAAGTTAAATATGAATGATGAGAGTTTTTAGAGATTTTTTTCACTTAAAAACTGAGCTCTGCAGATGTTCAGACGTTTAAGCAGAAGTAGTGCAAATGGAAATGTTTTTCAACAGCATGTTTGTGGGGGTTAGATTGCTGCCTCAATTGTACAGTTATCTAAAGAAGAACTGATAAGTAGTTCTCATCATCAGAACAGCAACAATAATATTGATAAATCTTTAAGTCCACATTGCCCACACCTGGTTCATAGCAGCATCACTATTAAAAACTAACTACATCCACCCTATTCAGATGTTTAGAATTTAATTTATGTGAAAAATATTCCAACTTTGTTTTAACTTGAATCTTCTGTAGTTTTAAATGGTTTATTCCTTTTGTCAAACACTTCAGGATCTTACAAAGCTTTAATAATTTCTAGTAACCAGTGTACTAAATAAGAAATAAAACAACTAAATGTTTAATCAATAGAAGGAAATGCAAAATCACAAGCACTTCTAGTTGGCAGATCTATGAACAGGAACATAGAAATCATGAAAGAAATAATAGAAACATAAAATGGATGAAATACTGAAACAAAGTTGTTATCTGGGTTCTTGTTGAACCTCTGAAGATGATGATGAGAAAAAGACTGATTCTTCTTAAAATAAAGAAAGTTATAGACAAATCTGGCCGACCTCTTCGTCCGACACTCAGAGAAACAGTCTTCAGTCAGAGGCTTTTTCAGACGCACTGTAATACAGACTGCTGCAGGAGATATTTCCTTCATTGACAATAACTTTGAGGAATCTGAATTAATATGAGTTACAACATAAAATTTTTCTTTGGGATCAATTAAGTATTTTTGAATATTTTACATTTTGCAACTGCATCAAAAGATCGCAGTGAAATCCAATTTTTTCTGCTTTGAAGAAAGTTTTGAGCTGGGGCATCTCAGACACGCTGTGGCCCCCTGGTGGCAGCTAGTATCCACTGACACTGAATCAGTGGTGGTTGTATTTGTATGTATATGTTATGCTCTTTTATTTAGTATTTATGAAGAACGTACATCTTCCCCAAACACAGCGATGAAACACCAAAAAGTCAAAAGCTGAACAAAACAAATCAGAAAAGTAAACATCTCGCCCTGTTTACTATAAAAATAAACGACATTGCCGACCAAAAATAATGAGTTAAATAATGTGCAATATTAACACATTATTTGTGGTAATGTTGCACAAACTAATTAGTTGATGTTAAATTAACATCAACTGATGTTAACGTTAAATTAATGTGCAGATCTTACAGTGAAGAAAAACTCAGGAACAGATGTAATTTTGAAAAACCTGCAAAAACGTTTCTTTTTATTTTCTATTTGCAATTGAAAAAGACATAAGCAAAAGCTGAAATAAAAGATAAGATAAAATCAGATGGTAACACTTTAAGGGTTTGCATCATTTTCTTAAACAATATTCTTTTACATATGAGATGAAGAATCAGTTGAAGTAAAGTTTTCTGTAAGTTGATGGATTTCTTTTTCATAAATCTTAATTAGTTTTCCAATCACATCTGAATTTGACCAAATATAATGATCTGTTGTGATGGTTGTACAAAAACAGAAATAGTTACAGAGAATGTTTTATCAATAGAAAATAAAGCAGGAAACTGAGAAACATCATGGAATTAAAGCAAATCTGGTTAGTAATTATGTTGACATTTTTTAAAAACGAGTTAAGAAACCATGAAAAAACAAAATGGATTTAATAAGCAAACAGAAAATGAACCAAAAGATCACTGAAATGTAACTGTCCTGCATACAGACATTTATAAATTTTATTTTTCTACTCTGGATCTTTGTGAAGTCAAATTTTTTAACATTTTAAGATCAATACTAGGAATTCTGCCAAAATAAAATTAAAGTCAAAGGATTTACAAAGCACGTGGCTTTCAGCACAAAATGTTAAAACTATTGATGTGATGATTTTGTCCATTTATTGTCAGCATAATATTTTCAATCTCTGGTGTCGTTTTCCTAGTTTTTACCAAATCAACTCCCTCACTAAGTTTTCTTTAGCTTAAGCTCTGTTGCTAAAGATACTGATGATTGCTCCAGAGCTGCTGGATCCGGATCTGATTACGTAGCAGAGCCCACCTCCAATCAGCATCAGCATCAAGCCAGATAGAAAGCCGATATAGACGCTCGCTCCCAGCTTAATTCCCTCTATTCCATTTCTAAAATCATATGAAATCCAGCTGACAGGGGTGATCAGCAGCAGGCCGGCCAGCATCAGGCCCACTCCAGCAGCAAGGATCATTTTGGACTTGTTATCTTGGTTCTGAACATATGGGGTGAAGTCGGAACCAAAGAACATGAGGAGGAGGCTGAGAACACCGAGCATGCAGCTGATGACGGTCAAAGCCCTGAAGGCGTGAAATTCAGAGGATTCATAGGTATTACGCGTTCCACAGATCTGCAGTCCACTGCTGTGCTTCGGACATACCTTCCACAGACCTATATGAACTTCCTATCCACCCAAAGACAGAAACAGATATTTACATTTACTTTATTAAACATGCTCTATGAAATTAAATCTGATATAAAAATCTAATGAATTTCTTTTTACTGAATGTCAAAATATATTTATTTTTTGGAGAATATTTTTAAACTCCCATCTAAACCAGAAGTTAATATAAATTAATGTCACTGAGTCTTTTAAACAGTTTATGAAAGCCCAGTTTCTGATGAGGCGTAAAACTGCAAAGTCAAAATTCTGATGTTTTATATGTTATTATAAAGACATACTGATTAAATTATATAACATACAACAATGGTTGATTAAAAAAAAACCTTTAAAGCTAATTAATCATAATTATCATGCTAATTTCAATCATAAAATGCTTTTTGATTATTTGATTACCATATCTTCAGAATGTCCAACAATCCATTCAGGGAGGGCACAGCAGATAATGGCCCCCATCAGTCCAATGGCGCCGAGAACCACGAATACCAGCTGAACTACTTTTGATGCCATTCTGTAAACAAAGAAAAATTTAAAAACTCGATTAAATCATTTTCTGCAATATATTCTTGGGTTTCCTCTTGGCATCCTCTTATGCAGGATTGGGCCACTGGCAGCAAATGCGCTGACAGACACTAGAGGGCGCTAGCCTCTGGTAGGCTCTCAGCCCACATAAACAACAACTCCAAACCCAGAATCTGCAAGTCCACATTTCATAGATGCCAATTCAGTGGCGGATTGTCACTTCCAAACTTCCAAACTGTATGATTGGGCAGCACACATCCACAAAATGTAATTTGGTTTAGATCTATATGCCTCCCATGGTGCAAGTTGGGTACAGTCGTGTTCCTCATCCTCTCTAAACGCTCTCACTTCCCCCATTACATCAACCCCTCTGATTTCACAAATAATTTAGTAATTTGCTCTGTATTAAAAATTTAGGAGGGATTTCCAATTTAAATCTGCATCTACATTAGCTGCTTTATTGGAGAGTCATCTGTTTCACCCTGAATCTGAGGATCAACTTTTAAACAGTTTCGTTTAAAGATCAAGTCGTGATCTGCAGCTCTCGCTGGAGCGGGTCGCAGCCGGGATGAGGATCAGTGCCTCCAGGTCCGAGGCCATGGTCTTGAGCCGGAAAAGGGTAGAGTGCCTTCTCCGGGTCGAGGGGAGTGGAGGAGTTCAAGTATCTTGGGATCTTGTTCAGGAATGAGGATAGAAAGGAGCGGGAGATCGACAGTTGGATTGGTGCAGCTTCTGCCGTGAAGTGGGTGCTGTTACGGTCCGACGTGGTGAAGAGAGCTGAGCCAACAAGCAAAGCTCTCAATTTACCGGTCGATCTATGTTCCTACCCTCATCTACTGTCATGAGCTTTGGGTCATGTTCCTGGTATGTCCCACCAGGAGGTGGGGAACATCCAGAATATATCCTGGAGGGACTATGTCCCTCAGCTGGCCTGGAAACGCCTTGGGATTCCCCCAGAGGAGCTGGAACAAGTGGCTGGGGAGAGGGAAGTCTGGGCTTCCATTCTAAAGCTGCTACCCCCTCAACCCGACCACGAACAAGCAGACAAAAATAAATGGATGGATGGATGGATGGATGGATGGATGGATGGATGGATGGATGGATGGATGGATGGATGGATGGATGGATGGATGGATGGATGGATGGATGGATGGATGGATGGATGATGGATGGATGGATGGATGGATGGATGGATGGATGGATGATCTATAGAGAACACTGGGTGAACAGCGCTCACTATGTCTAATGATTTTACAAAGTAGATAAGTTTTGGCAGCTTTAAGACCTTTCATTAGAAGTGAATCTCTTTTCTTCTCATTTATTTTAGTACTTTCAAATTAGACCCTGTGCCAAAGTTTTGTTTCCCAGTTGTCCTCCCACTACCAAGCCTGTAGATTTTTTGAGCTGTGATCCTCTTCAAAAGTCATATATCTCTAAAGGTTTACAATGACATTCTGTCTTTTGACTCCTCACCCGTTACCAAAGTTAAGGCAGCTTGGGAACTAGAACTGGGTCTAAACTTTGGAGAAGACTGGTGGAATAATGCTCTTTGAAAACATTCATACAAGTTCAGTCTGTGTTTGGCTTTCACTCATAGAGTTTAAAGTCTTCTTCGGGGTGCATATCCCCAAAACTCGTTTGTCCCAACCCTTGTCCCCCATTTGACAATTGTGACAAATTTCATGCGTCTTCCTGTAATTTAACTCTCATGTTTTTTGGCAGAACTATTTTGATACAATGTCAAAGATACTTTCATCAAACCCTCTCCCCATGCTCCCATATTTGGGCTCCCAGGTGTCTACAAACAGTTCATCTCCATTTTTACATTTTCTTGTAAAAATGTGCTGTTTAAATATCTAAACATTTTAATCCATTCTAACGGACAACCTTTTTACCTTATTTTGTGTTTATTTTTGAGTATATTATGTGTGTTTATTGTCGTTAGTGTCAGAAACCAAGTAACGGAGGAGATGACGGTTCAGGCTTTTTGCTTTTGAAGCCTAAAGAAACATAACAAGCCCATAGTTTAACAGTAGGACAGCTCTGGTGTCAGAGTTCGAGTTCAGCTGACTGTTCAGGTTCAAAGTTGTTGCTTTTAGAAACATATGGTCGTGTTCCTTAAGGTCCCTGTGTCATTACGTTTCATTCGTTTTGCATGCTTCCTGTGAAGCAGGTCGGTGTTTACAGCAGTGGGTACAGGCGGATCAGTTGCTCGGCTGTCTGGCTCTGGTCTGCTCTCTCGTTCCCATGCACTCGCTCTTTCTGGCAGGAAACAGAAGTGATTCCATGGAAATAATACAAAGAACGGCTCCTTTATTCACCATTGTTATGTTGCAACGAATGCTTTCTTAATTCAGGATCGTTTGGAAATCCATGAAAACTTAAAAGCCCATTGTATTAGTAAGACAACAATGTTCATGGCATTGCTTTATTTGCATCTGAAATACAACTATCTTTTGTAGCTAAGAGAGCGTTGGCAAGGCGCCACTTTTTCGTCAGAAATCAACTACAGCGCCATCTACCTGTCAGCGGCTCAATGACACCATGCCCCTTCTAAAATCTGAAATTGGAGATTAGATAGTCAGTGTAAGGCAACTTCTCTAAACTCTATAACCTGTGGCGCCCTTTCACAATGTCCTTTCAGTCTCTTCAGTCTCTGTTCCCGGATTGAGTGATGCCACCCACCCTGCCTCCCCTCGCACCTTTTTCTTTGCTTTGTTCCCCTGACTTTTACTTTTTTTTTACTTGATGTACATAATTTGTCCTTTGATGTATGAAAATAATGTATATTCATAGGATGTGAATTGTAGGCCTTTTTCCATCAAATTTAGATTTACACTTTGTGTACATAATTTTTCTGCAAGAACAACTTAAAACTTTTCTGTATCAAGTTTACACAACGAGCCACATGATGAGTCCTTCCCTGTTTTCCATTTGCACAGAAACTAAAGTGAAATTAACGTTCATCACCTCAATAAAAATCCCACTTGCGCTGCTGAGTGTTGCTGCAGACATCAGAGGAGAGTTTACCACAGCTGGAGCGCTCACGTCTCACCCATCACAGTGAGGAAGGGGTGTATAACGGAAAATCTGACTTTCTGGGTCAAACCAAGCGACACGTTAACAGATCAGAGCGCAACGTGGCAGAGAAAAGAGACTTTAGATTATGGAGATGTGTTGACAGCTTGCTTGATTTGTTTGAGGCAGGAGGCTCAAAATGTCTGGTTGCATTCCTGCATCTGTTAGCAAAGTAAAGAACCTCGGTGTTAATTTTGATCAGAACTTATTTGAATCTCATATTAAACTGATTTCTTTGATTTCTTCTTTTCACCTCTGGAATATTAGTAAAATTAACGCAGTTTGTCCAGGAGTGATGTAGAAAACATAGTCCATGTATTTGTTACTTCAAAAAAACTCATTTTTTGAAGAATGAAAACATGAAACTCACTTCCTTCATCTGTTTTAAATGTAGCAAATCTCAAGAGCTTTTAAACAAGAACTGCTTCATTATTTTATTATATATAGTTTTGCTCATTTAAATGTCAGCCTTCGTGGTTCCAGAATATTTCCAACAAAAGCGAGCCGTGGGTTTTAAAAGGTGGTTTGATTTTTGCACATTTCTGACTTGATTGTTGAAAAAATATATGTGCTTTAATTTTTGTAAAAATGTCAAAAAATTAATTACTGAAAATATCTTACAACTTCACTGAAAATGAAATTTAACTTTATCTGTTGTTTCAAGTTCACAAGGTAAAAAAAAATAATAATAATTTTACTAAAACCTTCCGCCATCACAGCAGACATTTGCCCAGACAGTAAACCTCCAATAAACACCCAGTGTATTATTAATTACTTAAATTATTTACCAAAGTTAAATGTGTAACTGTTTTTGTAATGAATGTGTTTTAAAGAAGAGCAGCCAAATAAATAAATATTTCTCCTATTTGTCATCTCAGAACAACAGGATGTAAAGTGAAGTGAAAATTGTGTCATTTCTTTTAACAATTTTATTTAATTATTTTCGTCATTTAACATTAGTATTGTTCAGGCCTAAAGTATAGGCCAAGTTAGCTTCTCTTCATTGGCTTCCTGTTTGAATTAACACAGAAAGGTTTTAATAATCAGTTTTATAAAAGGTTTTCCGGAGTTATCGCTGTTCGGCTGCTGGAGGACAAACTGAACACGCTGTGCATTTATTTCAACTTTTAACTTTGTTTTTAGCTCTTTGTTGAAGCAGGAATCTGTTCAGACTGCCTTCAGCTGAGATAATGCTGCCATGAACTAAATGTTGTCGCTCTCCTTCGACTAACCTTTTACTTTTCATTAACATTTAGAATTTTTTTGTTTTGCTTTGTAAATTCCTTAGCGATAACATATTGTGAATTGGGCAATAGAAATAAACTGAACTGAAAATAATTTATTTTGTCTCCTTCTCTGCATCCTAATAGAGCATTAAAATGTATAAGTGATAAGAAAAGCCTAATTTGGTTCTCAAAAGATTAATTTTGTGCACATTATGATGGATTTCTAATAAGATTTGAATCCAACAATTCTTCTATTTTAGCTAAATCAGTTTTTCTTAGCAATAATAATTTCTTACCTTTCTCACGTTCTGCTGGGTCTTGAGTTCAGGCTTTTTGCAAAGCGGAAACCAAGTGAAATGTTACTGAAGATGAGGCTGTGGTTTTATAACGGGATGTTCTGCTTTTTTTTTCTTTTTTTGGACACATCTGTGGTTTTGTTTCGTGCCAATGAAGATCATTGTCATCTCAGAACAACAGGATGTAAAGTGAAGTGAAAATTGTGTCATTTCTTTAACAATTTTATTTAATTATTTTCGTCATTTAACATGAGTATTGTTCAGGCCTAAAGTATATAGGCCAAGAACCAGACAGAAATAAATAATTTTGCTCTTTGCTATTTCCCAGATTCTCAGCCTGATCTGTTCCACACAGATTAATTTTTTTTTCCACAGTAACTTTTGACATCTTCAGCAAATCCTTAGAAAGATTTGATTTTGTCTACAATTAAAATAAACTGAGTGTCTCAAACTCATCTTGTGAATCTGAAGTTGGTTTTGAACGTGGATAAGACGAAAGACGGTTTTCTCTCAATCTACCAGAGATCCATTTGTGCACAGAGAGCAGTGGGAAGCAACAGAGGGAGTTTGACAGTAATTATAAATATCTTGTTTTATTTTAGATAAAAAGCTTTCTTTTAAAAACCACATAGAACATTTTTACAAACACTGAAAATGAAGATTGTGTTTCATTATTATAACGGATCCTGTTTGTCTCTCAAAGATAGAAAGAGATTGGTATCAGAAACTTCTGAAGGCCTTTGTTTTGTATACAAAAGCCTTCAGTCAATGACTGTGCATCATTGTGCTTTAAATCGTCTTGGCCATGTTTACGTGCCTCAATGCATCAAGTGTTGCCATTTGATTGCCTGATTTGAGATTTGCGTTAATCAACAGTTGGGCAGGTGGGCCCAATAAAGTGATTGGTGAGTGTATGTTTTTTTTTATTTTTGTAAAACCAGGTGGTTGTGTATTGCAGGTTTCTGCTCAGGGAGATTGAAACTTCATATCTACCTAACCTAAGATAATCTGTATCTAAATTGACATATAGAATATAAATTATACAGAAATGGCAGAAACTTAAAATGGATTAAATAATAATACAATTGTTGTCTGGGTTTTTGTTGAACCTCTGAAGAACATAAAAAACCAGGAAGGTTGCAAACAACCTCATTGTCCTCTTCATGTTACTGTCTCTGGAAAACAGCGTCTTCAGTCAGAGGCTTCTTCAGATTAGTTGCAATACAGACTGCTACAGGAGGTCTGTCCAGCCAACACCCATCACTCCACAATAACTCTTTGAAGAATCTGAATTAATATGAGTTACAACATTTAATTTCCCTTTAATTAAGTATTTTTAACTGAACTTATCTCATGCAACTGCATCACATAATTGATGAAATTAAATTTTTTCTGCTTGCAAGAAAGTTTGGGCTGCTGGCAGCGATAGTGCCACCTGGTGACAGGTAGTATCCACTGACACTGAATCAGAGATGGCTGTATGTGTTTTATTTACACGTTTTCTGTTTCATTTACTTTTAAGAGTGTACATCCTCCCCAAACACACCAATGAAACTCCACAAAGGCAAAAGGTGAAGAAAATGGAATGAAGATGAAGATCCAACTCCTACAGAATTACAAAACACTTTCATCTCGGTTGAAACTATCAAAATAAACGACAGAGCCGACCAAAAATAATTAAGCAATTGTGTCCCTTCTGTTTTTCTGTTAAATAACCTTAAGGCCCCAGTCTTGTTGAAATATTAGCACAGTTGTACAATTTTTACATTAATACTGACAAAATAAATTACATGACATTCAAATTCAAAAATACTTAATAGATCTGAAAGGGAAATTAAATGTTGTTGCACCTCACATTAATTTAAATTATACAGTTATATTTGGTATGATGACTGTTGGTAGAAAAGATCTGTATTATGGTCTTTACTATGTTATGTGCATAATTTATGTAACTGTCAAAAATTGACAATAGTTCAGTTTCTTTGCAATTAATACAAAATTGTTCTTCTCACTTTTTTCCCCAAACAAAACTGATAAATCTGTCACAGGTCACAAAATACTTTTGGAGCAGAAACTATAAAATCCATTTAAATTTTGTTCTTTTAATTAACCACAATAACATTTTAGAGCATCTTAAACTGTTTTGCTCTTCTGATTTAAATATAATCTTTCCCTAAAAACATATAGAAGAGGCTTGGAAAGGAGGGGAGAAGGCCAATTATGTCAGTAATAGATCTGACATTGATGTTTTTGATATTCCTTTTTCCTACAGGTAAAATTAAGGTGAAAAAAAATAAGGAGAAACTTTATCCATGGGTTGAGAAGATATTACTACGTGATGTTTTGTCTTATTTTCAGTAATACAAAATAGACCCTCTAAATTGAAATATTTCAAGGATTCCATGACTTTTATATAAGTAAAATTCTTCTTTACTGTTTAGGATAAATGTAATGCAGATTACGAATGAAATAAATGTAGAAAACTGCATAAAGCCATTGTTTGAATGGAGAGGATGAGGTTTGGCTAGGTCAGGAGCCCTCTAGTGGCTCAATGCGGTATTGCATTTTTATACCAGCATTTTATAAAAACGTCTCAGACGTTCAGCAACGCAAACTTTCTCCATGAAGGAAAAAAAACTGGGATTTTGATATAAACATAATAATCATCATAAAGGTGTAAAAGACGCTGAATGGAAAGTTACCTTTGTTGTAACTACCGTTAAGGACACAGGCTTTTATTTTGGTATCTCATGTCTCACCGTAGCTATGGTAACGGAACGGCGTTCCAACTGAATCGGTTAAAATTTAGCAAAACAAAGAAGAAATGATTAAAAGCCACCGAGTTTTAGCTACAGTCTGTAAGGGAACAGTGTGAGTAAGTTGAAATGCTAATAGAAAAGTCTGTGAATGTAAAGAATAGTTCATGTCTAACTCTTATGAATGACGCGGATAACTTTAATAAATTAACATTTAACCATCAGTTATGGCCTCCTGCATGTCTTTGCTACAGTTAGAGCAAAAACATTTTAGACAATGTTGACCGATCAGTCTTGCTAGCTGAGTCGTAGCATTTTTTTTTTTTTTCATCAAAACAAAAACTGATCTGTGACGGCTGATGACGTAATTCTCCGCCTTTCGCATTGTGATGTCAGCGATTGTGATGTCATAGTTGAAGTTGTTAGTGCATGGTTTCATTCTCTTCAGATATTCCAGACATCACAGGAGTGTTTTCAAGTTTGACCCTTGAAGTTTTCAGAAAATAGCAGCAAGACGCCCAAGCTGACAGAATAATAATTATAATTACTATTATTATTATATTAGCGTTTTTAAACCAACTCGTGAGAGATTTCCAAAGCAATTTCAGAAGCTTCTGTTTTTTTCTTCCAACAATATGGGACAAATCTTTGGCATAAGCAAGTACAAGAGGGTGAAGAAGAAGAAGAAAGTGGACTTTATGGAGGAGTACGTTAGGCGGCAGTTTCGTGGACATGACCCCCCTGAAAATAACTACGGCACACTAGTAGAACTTAACATGCGATCGATTCGACAGAAAGGTGAGGTTGACGATAAGATCTTAGGGAAAGAATCTCGAAGTTCCAGTGCGGTGTACTTTTTAAAGGACTTCCTTATAAAACATGACCTGGACTTTCATATCGAGCCGATTGTCGGTCCGTGCACTGAAAGGGAGATTGAAAGAATTAAAGCCCGCAAGGTCAAACTGGAAATGGGGGAAAGAAAGGAATCAATAAGAGACATGCTGGTCGAACAGAAAGCTTTGGACAAGCCACCATCTGTTAAAAGTGAAGTTTGTACTCTCCAAAAGCTCCTCGCAGATGTGAAAAAATCACTTGACGCAGATGAGAAAGATTGGGTGGACTTCGAACTGCAAATGTACAAGACTATGGAAGAAATGAACATGGAGCTAAAACGTAATTTTGATCAGTTGAAAGTGCTTAGTCAGGCCGTAGAATCCACAGACGACATGAAAAAAGACCTTACCAGGAAACTATCTCTGAAGTCTAAAGAACCAGAGCCCGCTCCCCGAAAACTCTCTTTGGCACCTCAGAGGGTAAAAATGTACTGCCTGTCACCCACTTTATTGCAACTTACTCGAGCAATGGATGAAGTGGACTGGGTGCGAAAAGAGGCTGCCGTGAGGTTTAGAAGGCGGAATGAGTTCATTGATTCAACAGATGAATTCCTGGGGATAGAAGAAAAATGTTTCTATTCCAGGGAACATGAGGAACGGAAAGCTCTTCAAGAAAGGCTCAAACTGGAAAGAGAGGCAGTAGAACGAGCAAAGATACAGAGATTAGCTCACAGACAATCAACTCCGGACATTATGGTACCAGAGGGGTTGAGGAAATCACTATCTTTCGAGACCATTGCATCAAAAGTTGGAGAGGACCTGACGAATGATAGTTAATGATTCGGAAAAAAAACCTTGACAGAACTAGACACATGCAAGAACAAAAGTGTCTAATAGGGAGCCTTAAAAGGGCTGCAGTATTGGAGGAGCTTGGAGACCAGAAGGCTGCAGGAGTGAAGGAGCTCGGAGTCTGGGGGGTTGTGGCGCAGACTCCTAGCACTACAACCCCATGGCTGGGAGCCTGGAAGCCTGTGGGCACTAAAGTGATTGGAGCTTGGGGGGGCTGTGGGCACCGAGGGGCTATGAGCTCTGAGGTGCTTGGAGCCTGGGGGGCTGTGGGCACCGAGGAGCTTGGAGCCTTAGGGGTTGTGGGCTCTGAGGTGCTTGGAGCCTGGGGGGTTGCGGGCACTAATGTGCTCGGAGCCTGGGGGGCTTTGGTCACCGAGGTGCTCGGAACCTGGGGGGCCAATGTAACCAAGAAGCTAGGAGCAAGCGGGGCCATGGGAACCAGAAGCTAGGAGCCCGTGGGGCCAAGGCAAACAAGAAGCTAAGAGTTTGCAGTTCCAAGGCAACCAAGAAGCTAGGAGCCTGCGGTTCCAAGGCAACCGAGAAGCTAGGAACGTGCTGGGCCAAGGCAACCAAGAAGCTAGGAGCCTGCGGTTCCAAGGCAACCGAGAAGCTAGGAACGTGCTGGGCCAAGGCAACCAAGAAGCTAGGAGCCTGCGGTTCCAAGGCAACCAAGAAGCTAGGAGCCTGCGGTTCCAAGGCAACCAAGAAGCTAGGAACCTGCGGTTCCAAGGCAACTAAGAAGCTAGGAGCCTGCGGGTCCAAGGCAACCAAGAAGCTAGGAGCACACGGTTCCAAGGACACCGAGAAGCTAGGAGCCCACGGAGCCGGTTCTACCAGACACTAGGGGCCCGCGGGGCCGATTCAATCTGACACTAGGTGCCCACGTGGCTGATTCAAACAACACTAGGAGCCCGCGGTGCCCATTCAACTGGACACTATGAGCCCGCGGGGCCGATTCAACCGGACACTAGGAGCCCGCGGTGCCCATTCAACCGGACACAAGGAGCCCGCGGGGCCGATTCAACCGGACACTATGAGCCCGCGGGGCCGATTCAACCGGACACTATGAGCCCGCGGGGCCGATTCAGGACACTAGGAGCCCGCGGGGCCGATTCAACCGGACACTATGAGCCCGCGGGGCCGATTCAACCGGACACTAGGAGCCCGCGGGGCCGATTCAACCGGACACTAGGAGCCCGCGGGGCCCATTCAACCGGACACTGGGAGCCCGCGGGGCCCATTCAACCGGACACTGGGAGCCCGCGGGGCCCATTCAACCGGACACTGGGAGCCCGCGGGGCCCATTCAACCGGACATTGGGAACCGGCGGGGCCCAATCCAGCAGACACTGGGAGCCCATTCAACCGGACACTGGGAGCCCGCGGGGCCCATTCCACCAGACACTGGGAGCCCGCGGGGCCCATTCCACCAGACACTGGGAGCCCGCGGGGCCCATTCCACCAGACACTGGGAGCCCGCGGGGCCCATTCCACCAGACACTAGAAGCCCGCGGGACCCATTGCACCAGACATTAGGAGCCTGCGGGGCCCATTCAACCAGACACTGGGATCCCGCCGGGCCCATTCCACCAGACACTGGGATCCCGCCGGGCCCATTCCACCAGACACTGGGAGCCCGCCAGGCTCATTCCACCAGACACTAGAAACCCGCGGGACCCATTGCACCAGACATTAGGGCCTGCGGGGCCCATTCAACCAGACACTAGGAGCCCGCGGGGCCCATTCAACCAGACACTAGGAGCCCGCGGGACCAAGGCAACCGAGAAGCTAGGAGCCTGCTTGGCCCAGACAACCGAGAAGCTGGGAGCCTGCTGGGGCTAAGAAACCTAGAAGCTGGGAGCCGTCGGGGTCAAAGCAATCTAGAAGCTGGGAGCCCACCAGGAATCTGCAACCAAGAAGCTAAGAGCCGGCGGAGCCAAGGCAACCGAGAAGCTGGGACCCCACGGGGCCAAGGCAGCCGAAAAGCTAAAAGCCAACGGGGCCTAGGCAACCGAGAAGCTAGGAGCCCACAGGGCTTCGGCAACCAAGAAGCTAGGAGCCCACGTGGCCGATTCTACCAGACACTAGTAGCCGGCGGGGCCAACGCAACCAAGAAGCTAGGAGCCCGCATGGCCGATTCAACCAGACACTAGGAGCTGGTGGGGCCAATGTAACTGAGAAGCTAGGAGCCGACGGGGCCGTTATAACCAGACACTAGGAGCCGGCGGGCTCAAGGCAACCGAAAAGCTATGAACCAGCAGCGCCAAGGCAACCGAGAATCTAGGAGCCCACGGGGCCGTTACAACCAGACACTAGGAGCCGGCGGGGCCAAGGCAACCGAAAAGCTATGAACCCGCAGGGCCAAGGCAACTGAGAAGCTAGGAGCCCACGCGGCCGTTACAACCAGACACTAGGAGCCAGCGGGGCCAAGGCAACCGAAAAACTATGAACCCGCAGGGTGAAGGCAACCGTGAAGCTAGGAGCCCACGTGGCAGTTACTACCAGACACTAGGAGCCGGCATGGCCAATTCAACCAGACACTGGCAGCCAGCGGGGCAAAGGCAACCAAAAAGCTATGAACCCGCGGGGCCAAGGCAATCGAGAAGCTTGGAGCCCACGGGGCCGATTCTACCAGACACTAGGGGCCGGCGGGGCCAACGCAACCGAGAAGCTAGGAGCACACGGGGCCATTACAACCAGACACTAGGAGCCCGCATGGCCTATTCAACCAGACACTAGGAGCCAGCGGGGACAATTCAACCGAAAAGCTATGGACCTGCGGGCCAAGGCAATGGAGAAGCTAGGAGCCCACGGGGCCTATTCTACCAGACAGTAGAGGCCGGTGGGGCCAATGGAACCGAGAAGATAGGAGCCCACGGGACCATTACAACCAGACACTAGGAGCCAGTGGGGACAAGGCAACCAAAAAGCTATGAGCCCGTATGGCCGATTCAACCAGACACTGGGAGCCGGCGGGGCCAAGGCAACCGAGAAACTATGAACCCGCGGGGCGAAGGCAAGCGAGAAGCTAGGACCCCAAGGGGCCGATTCAACCTGACACTAGGAGCCAGCATGGCCGATTCAACCAGACACTAGGAGCCAGCAGGCCAAGGAAACCGAGAAGCTAGGAGCCCACAGGGTCTTGGCGACCGAGAAGCTAGGAGCCGGCGGTGCCAATGCAACCGAGAAGCTAGGGGCCCTTGTGGCCGTTACAACCAGACGCTAGGAGCCAGCATGGCCGATTCAACCAGACACTAGGAGCCCGCATGGCCGATTCAACCAGACACTAGGAGCCGGCAGGCCAAGGAAACCGAGAAGCTAGGAGCCCACGGGGCCTTGGCGACCGAGAAGCTAGGAGCCGGTGGTGCCAATGCAACCGAGAAGCTAGGAGCCCGTGGGGCTGTTACAACCAGACACTAGGAGCCAGCAGGGCCAAGTCAACCTAGAACTTATGAACCCGCAGGGCCAAGGCAACCGAGAATCTAGGAGCCCACGGGGCCGATTCAACCAGACACTAGGAGCCGACCGGGACATGACGCTGGTTTCTAAGGTCTTCTTACACCCAAAATTCAACAATTCTAGTTGTAGTACAAGAATTAAAAGCAGAAACCAATGCTCTTACTCTGGGTGACCCAAAGTGGTACTTTTTATATTACTGTAAAAAAAAAAAGTCTACATTTACTTTTCTTTTTACTTTTACTGCATTAAATGGTTTCAACAGCTTCAGACTTTTCCACAGACTGATACTATTATGTGGGCTTTGATGGGAGCCTCCTACAAATGCTGTCCTCTTACTAATTTGAATGGAGAAAGAAAATGTGTCGTTCTCATCATTTTATGGTGAATTATTGTCAGGAGTCAAAAGGTTAACTTTTCACATAAAAAACACTAGCATCGCTCTTAGCCAATGAGCTGCTGCCAAATGACACAATGTCCCGCCCACCACCTCCCTCTTGGAGCACAAGCCGCACACCTCAAGTACACACTGTCAGTCTCATACCTTTTTAGGAAATGGGACCTTTGCACTCCGGAAGTGAAGGGGGCACTAGTTTTTATATTATTACGTTTTTATTTTCTTTTGAAATCTGTGATATATAGTTATCTTCACTCTCAGCATGTATTTGAACTTGTCTCTTTTATTTACTTTAGCGCAGCTCACAGTTTTTAACAAATTCTGTAGCTTTCTGTGTACTTTCTCTAGTGCCGCGGGGGTGGTAGCACAACTAATATAATTACATTACTAAATTTAGAACACTCGAATAATTTTTTTTACATTATAAAAGTATTGTTTTATAATGTATAAAACAGAACTTTTATACATTATAAATAATATCTCTATATATCCATCAATTATAGGAGGAAAAAAAAGAAATAAGGAAACATGTAAACAACATGATACACTTTGATAGAAATACCATTTGCAATGTAAACGCTAGAAATTTACTTGAGCAAAGGTCAATAACAAACTAATTAGGTTCACAGAAGATAACAACCCAGATAACTACTACACTGTCAATGAATGAGTTCTTAATAATAAAGACTTTGTGCTAAACTGATTTGGTAATCTAATTATATTAGTTGTGTTACCATCCCATGCCACTAGAGGCAGTAGCAGGCCCGGAAAGAGGCGACTGAGGAGCAGATTTAGAAGCACACCGAAAGCTACAGGATTTGTTAAAATCTGTGAGATGTGCTGAAGTAAATAAAAGCGAGAAGTTCAAATACATGCTGAGAGTTCAACTTCTTCCTAAAGGTGAAGATATATCACAGATATCAAAGGAAAAGAACAACTTGAGATTGCAGATAATATAGGAAATATGGTTAAGTTTCACTTCCGGAGTGCAATGGTCCAATTTCCAAATAAGGTATGAAACTGACTGAGGTCCGTCCCGCCCCTTTCTGTTTGCTGCAGCGAGGTCCTTATCGCTTCTGTATTTAGCCAAACCTTCTAATCCACATTATTTATGTTCTTATATTATGTTTTGGTAAACTAAATCCTTGGTTGAGATCTGTGATGTAGCTCGAGTGTTACAAGTGGCATTTATCATCATCCACAGGGGACAGTTGTCAGTGAAGCGGTCATCAGTGTGGGATTTGACCAAAATATGTTCAGTTTTATTTCTCTACGTCTCTGTTGAAACCTGCCTCTTCTTCCGTCTCAGAGTTTCCTGTTTGAAGCTTCGCCTCACCAAGGCTGTTGGTTGTTGGGTTCACTTGACAAATACTGATATGCGTTTGCGGCTGCTGATGCATGAAGAAAACCCTCTAAATATGATTTTAGGACAGATCAACTCACACTTGTGCATCATTTTACATTTGAAAAAACGTGTTACAAAATTGTGCAAACAGCAAGGCAGAAAAAAACCATATTGCTGCATTTTTGTTACAGATTATAACTTAGCTCTATAGCTTTTTATTTTCCAAATTCTGTATTTAAAAAAATGCGAATTTCTTTGAAATTGAATCTGTCTTCTGTGTTTTTATTCATTTCCCCAAACATCTCTGCATCTGACAAATCAGCTCATTAGTAATATCTAGTGATCAGTATACAAAATGAGATACAAAACAAGTTTTATGAATAGAAAGTCATGCAGAAGCTTGAGAAATACAAAAATGAAAATGTTTCTTGAGGCAAATCTTGAGCAAAGAAATCATGAACATAAAATGGACTAAATAAGCAAACAAAATTGCCATTTGGTTTTATTATCTTGTAACTTGCCAGTAACAAGCCATGTAATATTTGGCTGCTTAGAGAGACTTTTTCATATGTCTTCTTCATTATTATGTCACAATTTTTCAGAAAATTCATGGGAATTCAACCATTTTGCATGGTTGAAAGAAAACAGCTCAGAAACTTGGAAATAAAACATTACAGAGCACATGCCTTCCAGCAGCAACTGATAAAATTATGGAAATAATGATGAGATTCAGATATTCTTAGCATAGGGTATTTACATTCTGTGGTACCACATGGCCTCTACACGTAGTTCTTGTTTGGTGCTGAAGCGGTATTGCTGTAGTACTTGGCGGTTCCTCCAGAGCTGCTGGATTTGGGTCGGCTGAAGCAGCAGAGCAGACCTCCAGCCAGGAGCATCAGTACACCGGCTGCCCAGCCGATATAGATGCACGCTCCCAGCTCTCTCTTCAGGGACTCATGCACCAGTTGGTTGTGGAAATCTCTCACGGTGTTGTGTGCCGACCAGCTCACAGGGATGATAACCAGCAGGCCGGCCAGCATCAGGCCCACTGCGGCCACCAGGCTGATTTTGGGCTTGGCATCTTCATTCTGAACACATGTGGTGAAGTCGGCACCGCAGAAAAGGACTAGGAGGCTGAGAATACCGAGCATGCAGCTGATGATGGTCATGGCGCGGGCGGCCTGCAGGTCAGAGGACAGCACCAGCAAGGAGTCGTACACTTTGCACTGCTGCTGCCCTGTGCTCTGCTTCACACACTCCATCCATAGACCTTCTTGACTCTCCTACACCGAAAGATGCAGAAACAGAGATTTACATGCACTGCATAAAGCACATTTTCTTATTTCCTGTATTCCAGCAAATGCTGTCAAAATTTTAAGGAATCTTGGAAAAGCCAAATGATGATGTCAGGACTTTGTAGGTTTCTGATGAAGTCACAAGATTTGGATTAAACTTTGTTGCTTCATTTGGAGGAAACAGCTCGAGGGCCTATATAGTCATGAGGAAATAACTAAGTGGAAATGCTGATGCAGCAATCCTAGACAGGAAGTTAAAGTTTGGGCTGCAGTGGATCTTCCACTTGGACACTGACCCAAAGTATGCAGCCATATTGGACCACTGTATGTGCTGCACAAATGCCCTGGAGCTCTGCTGGGGTTGCTAGGCAACAGGTAGTGGCTGCTGCTGTGGAACAACACATTTTCTAGACACCAAAAAACATGAATTTGTTGCCCAAACACAACTGGATGTTTTTTTAAGCTCTTTTGCCTGTTTTCAGAAGTTGTTGAGACCAAAATGTTAATACAAAAATGTATCATGAAAAATAATACATTTTCCATTATTGGTCCTATTTAATTTATTTATGTTTAAGCCAAGAAGTGAAGATTAAAAGGCAATTAAAAAACTATTTTCTTTAATTGGTGTAGTATTTAGTAAATATAAACATCCTAACTGACCTTAATTAGTGAAACCTACAATTATAATATTAAAATTATTTCCTGCTCAAAACATAAAATATGATTGTGTAATTGTCGAGCAATAAAACCTGTAAAAACATAACTTTTCTGATCATTTAAGTCATAAAATATATTTTGTTGCTCTGAATCATAAATGCTTACCTGCGCTGTCACAATGTTGTTTCCTATGAAGGCTGACACTTTCCAGAGAGGAAGGGCGCAACAGACGATGACCCCAGTGACCCCGATGATCCCGAAGGCCACACACACCATCTGAACAGCTGACGATCCCATCCTGGAAAAAACTACACATCGTATAGAGGTAAAATAAATGCTAAAAATCTGGATTTTTTTCATTACAAATTTAGAATTTCTTAGGCATTAAGATAAGGTTTTCTAAAGCTATTTAAAATTAAAACAATGTTCAGAATTAATTTCTTTTGTTTCACTCATTGTTCCAGTTAATCTATGTGTTTGTCAAAGCTTCAGCTGGATACTCCCTCAGACAAAACACTTATTACCTGGTGCATGTCACCACCTAATCCGTGGTTTAAGGCAACATTTTCAAATTAAAGTTATGCCCAGACAGGCCTGAGATCTCCACCAATTAAAGGCTCAGCCGCTGCTTCACAACATCCAGCCAGCGAGATAAAATTCAAAAATAATTTATAACCATTTTGGTCACATCGGGATAACTGAAAATAGACTTTTAATATTAGCGTGTGCAGATTTACACACATTTGATTTAAATGTTGAAATATCTTGAATTATTCTTTTTGTTAGTTACTACAAACATTAAAAATTATTTTGATTAAATTGAGAATCTTTAAATCAGAAATAAATAATCATCTGTAGACTGGCACACAAAATGTAATTAATTTCAATTAATTTATTTCGTTTTTGAACATTTAAAGCTATTTTTGCCCAAACTGGTTGATTAAATCCTAGAGCAAAAGAGGAAAAACAACAACCTATCAAATATTCTTTGAAATAAATACCTTTAAAAACATTTATTTCTTTATTGTTTTCTTAATGACGTTGTTTATACTGCATGTAAAGACTTACCTATTTGTCTTCTTTGAACACCTGTAGAGGTTTAGAGGTTTTTGTTGAAGATGTTTTCTGATGCGCGGCCGTCTGGAAGCTGCAGAGTGAGGAAACAAACGTTACTTATAGAGGAATGTCAGGAGTAGGCGGAGCCCCAGTCCAGCCAGAGAAACACGGAGGAAATATGGAGCTGAAACCACTTCTGACCTGTACAGGTTCCCCTCTTTTTGGAAACAGAGGTCACAAATTTTCTGAAAAAAAAAAAAGGAATAAAATCTCATTCATGTTTTTATTCTGTTACAACAGTGATGCTGCAGAGTTTCTCCGTTTGTATCCATCACAAGTTGAACAAACCAACCACTATCTGGAAGATTGCCAGTTTTTCCCATCAGTACATCCAGTCGGCACAAACAAATCCCACGCAGGTTTCCATAGCTATACCAGCTCCCTCCACACCTGTTTGTGTCGAAATCAATGACGAAGATGAGGAGCAGAGACCGTGAGGTCTTGACTCATCCAGTTGGTTTCATGGATCACGAGAAAGATGAATGAAGAAACAAGAAGGAATGTCGGCTTTAAAAATAGACGTGTTGGTAGTTTTGGTTTGCATAACATCAAAATTAATTATTGAAAATAATATAGAGAAAACAGAACAGAGGACAGATATGGATAGTATGAACCTCAATCCATTAATGTTCTGATGTTCAACTGTAATAATTCTGATTCTCTGATGATTTCAGACTTTATTTAATTTATTGAGAAAGAGATACATTAGACCAATCTGGCCAACTTCCATCCATCATTAGAGATAATTCAGAAAGTCTTTGTCAACAATAAGATTTAATTTCCATCCTTTGTTCTTCAAATTAAAGAGTTTTTCCAACATAATTTGTCTGTTTAATCATCTTAACTCAACCTGAGTTTTATAGAAAACTTTATTTTTTATCCATTCTTGGCTGGATTTGAATGATGTTTATTGTCCTACATAAAAGGAAGCTGGAAATCATTGAACATTTAAAGCATTAAAACTGCAAACGACATCCTAAATGTTGACTGATTTCCACAATCTGTGTGGATTTTTTTATGTTTGTATTCTCAGCAAGACGAATATGGAGCTCTCTGTCTTCATGTTTTCCCAAAATCTGCTCTGGAATAAAAAGCACTGGATATTTTATATAAAATTGAATTAATCCTTTTAGAAGATGTTTTAAACGCAGTAAAAATTTCCCTGTTGATTATTTTATGTGTATAAATATAAATTAGAGCCTGAAAACTAAGTGTTCTCAATTTTTAACTGCACAAATGGTCCCCAGACCAAACTTTTGACGCCCGTGGCTTAACGTAAACCTTGTGTCACTTTGTGTTTTAACATTTAAAGTGTTCATTTTTACATTTCCTGGCTTATAAAGCACATAAATTTAAAAGTAAAGTTGCTCAGTAAAGCATGAAAAAACTGGACAAACTTGCAGATATCCATCTTGAAAGCCTAAGGAAGACTGAACGCATCCTGAAAAGCTTTTTTCACCGTAGCTTTCCTGTCGTTACACCACAAGTGAACTGCATAAAATATTATCATGAGAGTCAATCCAAGCCATAATATGACCACAAGCTTGAGAGACTGAGTTGCACAGGCCTGGTAATCTGGTTCAGACGTGCTGGAACAAAAGTTTCAGGACAGTTGCCCTCGAGGAGTTGGAGACGTCTGATCTGCTGAGATTAGGCAAAAAGAATGTCCTAATATTCCTCTATCTGGATCCATCAATCTTGTGAAATGTTAGAGCAGCAAAGAGCTGCTATATAAATTAGCAGAAATGCCAAAATGTGTTTTTGTTTTGTTTTTTACAAATGAGAGCAGATTATCTGTCATGACAGATTGTGAAGCTTTAACTTATTAGTGAGAGGTTATACCAATAGATGGGGTGTGCATGATTATGTTTTGTTTTCATTTATATTTTAAATTTATAAATTATGGTCTTGAATATTATTTTACTTTACACAGGTGTTAGTATTTTAGAGAAAATATTTTTTCAGAGGATAATTAAAACGTTAAACTGAGATTTTTTTCCGTTTTCACTTGTTAAGCATTGTCAAATGCAAATTGTATTTGGTTTCTTTCTGAATTTTATTGAGCACTTTGAGAATGATGAATTCAAAGTGAATTACCAATCAATAAATTATAATCTTGCAAGTTGGCTACATTATATGGATAAATTACACAGATGACAAAGTGCTCAAGTTTTTTTCTGCTTATTATGATATTTTCTTATTTATACCTGGTGAAAATATTACATTTAACAAAAGAATATTACATCAGCTCAATTTCTGTCCATTTTTATTAGCATGTATTAATGACTAGATGTTGTTTATTCTGACAAAATTCGGTGAAAAAATGTGGCCAGTCCAGCTGTTATTCATATTTAAAGCAAGTTTTAAAAACTCATATTATGAAGTTTCAGCCAATTTAAAAATAAAATTAAATTGTTGGGTAAATAAAGCCACGAGTAGCTAAGAAACAATCACCTGTGTATTTAATAAATTATGAAATTCTGCAACTATCAATTTTACCACTAGATGGCGACGTTTGAAGGTGTTCATGAGCTCGCCTTAGCAGCCGTTATAAACTGCTGTGGGTGGAGTTTATTTTTAAGACAGACATAGCAAATAGCCAATCAGGTGCAAAGGAATTGGTCCGAGTGACCAATCAGCGTCTGAGAAGGCTGGGAAGAGTCGGGTTTGATTCAGCCTCGTATGTCGCCGTAGACGCTCGGCTGAAACGGCCCTGTTTTAAAGTTCCTGGGGGCGAAGAGTCGGGCGACCTGGACAAAGCAGGAGAAAACGGGGCCAAGATTTAACCTGGTTAATAAATAACTCGTCGTTTTCCGTACCGGGAGGGCAGACACCGTTCTGGAGAAAAGGTTCGGGAACATTTTGTTATCTCGTTATTACAGCGCTTAGCAGTCGCGGTACAGTTGTGCCGATGCTACTAAAAAAAGTGTAGCTTATGCTACTTGGGTAGCAGCTTTAGCTCGGATTAGCTCATTGATTGTGCTCCTGTTGCTCGGTTTTGTCGGTGTCGTTTGCTTCTGAATGTGACCGACTACATCTGTAAAGCAAATTAATAACTCTTGGTCCATCTTCTCTTGTTCTCTGTTTTGAATTTTAAAGAGGTGCGACGCATAAAACCGAGGTCTCACTTCCCGATAACGTCAGAAAATTCAGAAAATGGCGGAGCCGGACAAATTAAACATCGACTCTATAATTCAACGTCTTTTGGAAGGTAAGGGGAATCCAAACCAGTGTGAAGCTTTATTTTGTTTCTATGATGGTGAATTGTTTTTAGACCTTTTCCCCGGGAGATCGGCGCTGTGTGCGGTGAAGTCGCCTACATTAGACCGGCGCTGCTCTTATTGCCAGGGGTTGTTGGATTTTGCCAGATCAAATGTTGGAACCGAATCAACTCTGCGTTTCATAGATTTATTTCTGTTTGTACAGACAGTTCCCTTTTTATCACAGCCGATTCTAGCCCTGTTTTTGTTGTAGATGCATTTCTGTGGGCAAATTAAAAGAAATGCGTGACGTTACAGTGACGTACGTCACGTTTTTTCTCTTCTATTTTTATGAATCTATTCTGCTAAATAGTTTCATCTATAGTCTATTAAGTATTGTAGAAAGCAAAATCCTAACTGGAAGCATAAATAATAACTGAATTTATTTAATTTGTGTAAATACTATAAACAAGACTAATAAAAATTATTGTATTAACTCCTAACATTTACACCGTTTTCTCACATCCTCTTTAACTTGCTGCTCCTGGTGTAAATAACTTTACACATTCACAAAGAGAGCAATTTAATTTTTTAATTTTAATCCTTGAAACCTATTGAAACCCTAAGTTTAGATAAAAAGGAATAAAGAACATTTCTTAAAATGCACAAATAGGAAGTTGAGTGAAAGAAAAAAGTTTAATTCAAGGTTCACAAGCAACAGATATGGGCTTCTAAAGATGCTTGTCACAATTAATCGCATGGAATATCAAAAATAATATTCTTTGAAGAGACATTATAACCAATTTTACGTATGGTTTTAGTTGTTTGTGTATTGTTTTTGTGTGTTGTATTTTGGATATTTAAAATATGTTCCAGTGATAAGTGTTCTTTTCAAAACCAAAGTTAGTTTTTATTAATAGGGTGAAATTGCAACACACTACTTGAAAACAATCTTAAGAGAACAATATTATCATTGCAAAATTTACTTGGAAAATCTTATCGTCCAGAAAAAGTGGTAATCATGACAGGCCTATATATCACTTACATTTGTGCTGTTTTTTCTCATATTTAGCCTAAACGAGTGAATCAGAAGTCCACACTCTTAGTTTAAGATTTTTGAATTGGAAGAGGACTCATTATTTGACCTTTCAGATTGTGATCTTTAGCTGGTTGGTGCGTCTGTGATGTTTTACTGCTGGAGTTGGTGTTTATATTTGTAGAAACAAAACATACTTATCTAGCACAAGAGTTCAAACTTAAACTTCCCCCAATTCAGGAAGTGGTAAAAATATTCTGCAAACAGATGTCACGGCTTTAGAAAGCATGATCACTAATGTCCATGTATTGCAAAAACCTGCACCACACAGCAGTTTTATGCGTTTAGAAATAAACAGTTTATTTTTTTCCCCACATTGTTAAATCTTTTCACTCAGGTTTTACGTTTAGAGGATAAGTTTACAGTCAAACTAGTGCAGTAAAACACCTCCCTAGTGCTTGTAGACCATAAATCGGCTGCTAATTACTGCAATTTTAAGACTTTTCCCAAAGCTTAATACTTCACCAGACGTATCGGCTTAAGTGATTTTATTGTTTCATATGCAAGATGTGATACAAAAAGCTGCGGTTTGTTCATACGTGAGCAGATACACAAGAAAAGAACTCACTGTTATCACTGAGAAACCAGCAGAATCACCGTCAGCTCACAGCGACTGTAGGTGTTTTCTGGTGTTTGTTTATGCCACATAACTGGGAGCCAGCAGAGCATAAACATGATGTACGTCTGCTCTGAAGGAGAGTTTGAAAGGAAACAGCTGACTAACTCTTTCAGCACTTTGTCCTTTTCAGAATCAACTCCTAATGTGTTTGTTTAGCGGGAAGTTAAACAAACACATTAGTTATTTGGGTGAAGAGATTTAAGTTTTCTATAAGTAACTTGGAAATTGTTATGTTGCATTGCTCAGGGAAACTAGTTCAATTAAATTGCTCCTGCAAAGTAATTCAGTTTTTTTATTTTTATTTTTGTGCACACACGATAAAAAACTTTGCTGGATGATAAATTGTCCCATAAATTATCATGATAAATGATAATATTGTTATCTTGAGCACTAAATCAATTAATCACATGAAAAATTAAAACAAGCTCAATTATTTCTATTTGCATGTTTTATAATTTTTATAAATTTGTTACGGTAACAGGCCTAATTGAGACCATTTTTTAATAATATATTGATTATAGCATTATGCTGCAAGTTCAACATCTCAAAGATAAATTAAGTTTTATTTTGTAAAGAATGTCTAACTGGAAGACAGTTTGAATATAGAAAAGATAAACCAAACACAACCAAAATCATAAATAAAATGGATTATAAAACTAAAATGCCCTTAAAAAAACATTAGCCAACAGAATTGCAATTATTGAGCTCATTACAATTGATTGTGCGGTTAATTGATTAATTTTTATTACAACAGGATTATACAAAGCCAATAAATATTAAATTCAGTCTTATTAAAGAATGATTTCATAATAAGGACTGTTAGCTGTCGCTCAGGTTGAGCTAATAGCTGGTTGGTCTTGTTGGCTCCTCCAGAATCTGAAGGAGAATCTCAGCCAGACTGTCGGGTCGTGACTTCTAAGTGGAAATGTTATTGTTGTTTTCTTATGGCTCTGAAATAGGGATGCACCAATTTATTGCATCAAATCCCTCAGTTTTGGGTTCTGTTCTGGTTTGACTGACAGACCAGGGCATGTCTGAACGTCTGCAGTTAGCTGTCGTTGCCCCTTTGTTGCCAACTCTGCAGCTTTCTTGCTACATTTAGCAACATTTCAGATAAAAAAAATTGGCATTGGCCAAAATTTGAACCGGCAGGTCAGACTCTTTAAAGATCAGGGATCGACCAGGAAACTGCAATCATTGCATCCCTGTTATATCTCTACACATGGCTGCCACTGTTTTTTCTCCTTCCACTCAATTTTCTATTAATATGCTTTATTACGGCCAACTCTTGCAGCAGTAACGTTTTGTGGTCTTCCTTTTCTCTGGAACGTCGTCTTTAGCTTTATTGACTAAACTGGGGGAGGAAAAGACGGATTTCTGTAATAAAACTAAATACCTACTCTTGAATTATCTAAAACTTAATTTACAGTTTTTGTAAGATACTAAAACTTATTTTATTACAAAATTACTTTAAAATTCTTTACAGAAGTTAACAGTTTTCTTCCCACTAGTGCTCCACCTGTGTGTGAAATGTTTCACAGTTCTTGGCTGTTTGTACGTCCAGAACAAACAGCAGAAGGTCTGATTCCTCCCCAATGAGCACGGCCTCTCCAAAGGCCAAAGTCTCCAAAAATATTTACTTTAAGTCAAACAAAGATTGGGAGAATGATATGGTATGATTTTATTTTTTAACAAACGACACCTTAAAGAAAAGAACTGCTAAAAAGCCTGTTCCTTTCTCTAATTCATTAATTTTATCCATTGATCGCTGATTTTTGTTTCTCTTTTGTTCGACGTTTGAAGCTGCAGCCGCCTGCAGGTTTTAACATGCAAACTTTACACTAAAGCTAAAATAAATTTCCCTACATCCGATTTTAATCATACTTATTGTAAATAATTTGAATGTCTGAGTCCAATTTGAGTAAAATAACACTAGAAATTCAATGTTTCATTTTGCACTTGGACACAAGACTAATTTTTTATGTATTTCTAGTTAAGTCCAGTAATATTTCTCACTGAATACATATGATTTATTTGTAAATGTGTAATAATAAGAACTCCATTTTATTTAGTTTTTTTATCATGCACTTTATAGATTTCTTTTTTTTTAAATGCAATTAAAATAGCTTTTATTTTGAAAAATCTAAATCATTTTTTTGAAGAAATAATCGCATATTCAAAAATGTATTTTATGATAACAAATAACTAGCAGCAGCCATAGAAATAATTTAAGTTGGGTAAAGAAAATATTCACACTTGTTGCCTTTTTTATAATTTTTTTAGAGGTTTTTCAGAAAAAGTTGTTGGTATAAAAATAGTTTTGTTTTGCTCCTCCACAGGAAAGTGGTTGTTTTGGTGAGTCAAGCTCCTTTTATTTATGTAACACAAATATCATTCAGAAATATTTTATTTGGCCCTAAACTGGTTTAACTTTGTGCAGATTTTTTTAGCATTCCTGAGCTTTAGGCAGTGACAAACCTTAAATCTGGAAACATCAGCAGAGGAAAATACTAGAGTTTAAAAGTAATGTATAATTTATGTTAGAACTTAACGGGAAATTTCTCCTGTCTCAACAGTCAGTGTGATGGCCTTCTCTGCATTTAAAACACAAATATTTAAGTTTAATTTTTGTTTCATGAATGTAAATTTTTGGGGGGGTAAATGTGTTTCTTTTGATAAATGTACCGCTTTATCAAACTTTAAATTTAAAAAATTTAAGATTTAAATACTTGGGAAAAAGCAGGCAGCTAATTTCAGGCTATGGAGAGATGCTGCAAGTTTATATATTCTGCTAACTCATAAAATATACGTTTGGAAGCATAAATTTAAGTTATTTTTATGTTTGTAGACCATTAGAGGACAGTAGAATATGAAACGGTTTTATTCCGACTTTAGATTCAGGCTTTTAAGTTTTTTATCTTCTTTTAGTTAATTGAAAATGTTCATTTAATCACTTAGAGATGCATTTTCACATCTAGATTTCATGGTTAGTTTCCACTCACCATTGAAAAAAAAATCTTAAGTCAAGGCCTTAAAATGTCTTGAATTAATTTTTTTTAAAAAGTGAATCAGCCTTAAATTTGTTAATTGTAGGTCTTAAATGTTGTGTCTGTTGGATTATTTAAGAGTGGATATTCTGTTTTTTATTCTCAAAGAAAAGTTTGAGTTGCTCAGACACACCAAGGCGGTTGAGGCTACCGCTAACTAGATGCTAATATAACCTAACCAGCTTTTCACCAACATAAGTGCAAATTTATCATTGTTCGGTTTCATTTAATACATTTTTATCATCATGTAGGCCTTTTATTTTGTTCACTATAGTCTTCAAAAGGCCTTGAATTTGAGTTGGTGAAACCTTGCTTTTAGAGAACACTTAGAAATTCAATTTTTCACGTTAATATATTAAAAACTAATTTTTTTAATGTTTTTGTACTCTTCCACATGTTATTTTATCAGTTATTTATTGTTAAACCATGAGCAGGTTAGGCTTGTTGCAGTAAATCAATTAATTGCATGATAAATTAAAACAAGCTCAATAATTTACACTTACATGATTTATTGATTTTCTCTTCCTACCAGAAACTGGATGATAAAAATCTTCAGTTTGGTAAAAGCTAATCCTTTTTTTAAAGGACAGTTTTATGATTGATTTTATTTGTTGTTTCTTTTGTTTTATTTATTTGTTTTGGATATTTAAAATGTTGTCCAGTCCCAGAGTTAAAATTTTGTTAGTGTTCAAAGTTCATTCATCTTTGGGAGTATATTCTTGCATTATTATGCCATTATTACCACTGTATTACTTGGAAATGGTCTCAAAACAACAACTTTGTTTATTTTAATAACTTCTAAAACAATTTATCACCCAGTAACATTTGCTACCCTGACATGTCTGATTATAGCTTCAGCTTTTCACACCAATATCATCTAAAAGCTCATACTTTGATTCTCCTCAACATGTCATTCTGTCAACTTATTTTGTTTTGGCGTCAGATGGTAGCGTTCTGCGTTCTCCCAGACTCTGTAATGAAACGCGGTTCTGTGTTGGCCGGGATCATTCGGTTCTGAATCGCCTGCTGGGAGTTTGACTTTGACTGCAGGATATGCTGGAGTGTTTGTCCATGGATTGTTGTACTTGGACCGTGATAAGGTTGTCTGCCAAGCACAGGAGAAAACAAACAGGCCTCATAGTGGCAGTATTTATATCCTGTTATGTAACACTGGGTTATTTTTTTTTTTTTACCCCCATCGGTGCTTCTGCTTTTATTGTTGGGTCAAACTCCTCGGCGATATCGATCCGAACCACCAGATAATGAAGGAACGACGCGCCTGCTGCAGCTGCTGCTGAATTGTAGCATTGATAGATGTTTTATTTCCATCAGCTTCCTGTGTGCTGGAGCAAACCAATTAAACGTGTTTGGATAATTAGCAGAAACAATCGGATTAGCTGCTCAGATCTGAAGTGAAGCAAACCGATGGAGCGCCGCGGCGGTTTGTGGCCCGGCTACCGACCCCGGCTTTCCTGTTGCACTGCAGCAGCGTTTTGTTTTCAGAGTGTGTTAAAGCTCTTTGTGAACCCCTCGCTGTCGCCCACTGACTCTGAGGCTAACTTTGGAGTAAGCTCTGTCAGGGCTTAGCCTGCGGTAATCCTGCTTTAAAGCAACAAGCAGCAGGCTGGTATTTATATCCACTTTTCCCTGCCTTTTCCGTCACTTTGCCGTCCTTCTGCCTCCACTTGCTGATTCCTGCTCTGTTATAAATACAGCTTCACGTTTAACACTTAACTTTAATATTTCCCATATTTTTAGTGATGCATTTACTGATTTTAACCTGATTTATTTCCTTTTTTTGGCCTATCTACTGATACAAGTGTTGAGTTTCTGTTTAGATGTTTCAACAAGATGTAGAAAATATAAAATAGTCTTACATGTTGCCACTAAGAAGAGATATTTTAATTGTATTAAAACTACAACAATTAGGCCTGTTGCATAAAGTCAATTGAGTCTATTTTAATGAAAAATGATTTATTATTTTCATTTCTACTGAAGCTGAATGATAAAAGTCTTCATTCTGGTCTGAACTAGCCGTTTTGTTGAAGGACAGTTTTGTTTAGCAACTTAATTAATTTTATTTGTTGTATTTTTTTTTATTTATTTTGGATGTTTGAAATGTCTTCCAGCTTCAGTGTTAAATGTTGATTAAAATTTAAAGTTTATTGATCTTTGAGACGGTTTTCTTACATTATTATGCCTTTATTACCATTGTACTATTTGAAAAATAGTCTTAAAGCAGCAATATTATCGTTTATCGCAATAACTTCAGGATAAATTTATCGTGACTAAACAACATTGCATTTCTGAGGTTTATGTGGAATCTGCCTTAGGTTAAATATATTCTGTGTGCCATAAATTGTCTGTTTTTTGTAAACTTTTACCTTTATTATGTTTTTTAATTGACCATGAAACAGAATATCAGATGCTTCATTGCAGAAATAAACAGGAATCAAACAGATTTCCAGCAAACGGTTCCAAGTCTGTAACTGTCACTGTATTTTGGACTTTATTGCTGCTTAGAGTATTTAAAAAAAATGTTTTACCTTTGCAACTCACAAAAGTAAGAAACTTTCAGCCTAAAACATTTAACAATGATTGGCTACTAATGCCTCTCTTATAATATCTAAAAGACATTTTAATAATCTTGAACTTTATTATTATTTTTACCTCCCTAGAAAACATTTCAAGCTGTTTTATTCTTATCAACTTGTTTGTCAGTTTATTTAATTTTTCCCAGGAGAAAAAAAAGCTTTTATCGCTTTTTAATTGGGAAAAATAAATTTTGTTGGACGATGATAAATTGTCCCTGAAGTTATTGCAATAAATGATCAGATTGTTGTTTTGAGACCATTTTCAGTTAATATAATTGTAATAACAACAATAACAGATTCTCAAAGATCAATAAACTTTTACATTAAAACGAACATTGAACACTGGAACTAAAAAACATTTTAAACATTCACAAAACAGAAACAACAAATAAAATGAATTAGGAAGTCTCTGTTAACAAAATTGTGTCTAAAAATTGGCTAGTGTCGATCAAATAACTAGAGAAAAAAATGATAAATCATGCAAATGGAAATCATTAAGTTTGTTTTAATTCATCATGTAGTTATATGACTTATTGTTTATTATGACAGACTTACTGGTTTAGCATGAATTTCCAGTCTAAAGAGTCTCGAACTGGACTTTTTCAAAATCTGTTTGGGTTTGTTGGGTTCTCCTTCAGTTCATAGCTACTTATTGATCACACCATTATTGATTCAGTCATTGATACGAACTGAACCAATTCCAAACCGCTGCAGCTTCAGGGCACAAACATTTTACACGCCTGGTTTTCAGCTGAAACGTGTTCAGATCAGAAGTGGTTAAAATCTGTGTCCATCATGGCGGTGTGTTTTCCCTCTTCGGTGTGTGTGGTACGTGTGAAAACGCATGATAAGCGGACACTTGATAAACCTGCTGAATTCCTGAGATAACGCGAGCGAACGAGGCGAGGACGGAATGTGCGCTTACTGGGAGATAAATGGGATTTAAGTTTATTACAACCAAACTAACTCTGCTTTATGCAATCACACAGAAAAGCTTCTAATAATGTCAGAAACGTCAGACTCAAGAGGAAGTTCGGTTTTAACAGAGCGACCTCGACGTTTTCCACATAGCAGAGTTTTCTCTTTGCCAAAGTCTTCTCTTTTCCAGAATATGTGTAAAGAGGAAAAACGAAGCGAGTACCTGTGGAAACGGCTGCAAGTCTGAACTGCTAACAGAATTTGACAGCATTTGGCTGGTGGGAGGTGTTAGCTGTCCAGTCTGGTGGTCTGCTGCACAATCCAAGCATCACATTTCAGTGCTGAATGTCAATCTTTGTTTGGCCTCCTTTAAGGCTCAGAGTACACGCTTGTCCTGATGTTTCCTCCATAAATGATCTTATTTTTATTGTTCTCTTCTTGTCGCAGTGAAGGGCTCCCGGCCGGGGAAGAACGTCCAGCTGACGGAGAACGAGATCCGTGGCCTTTGCCTCAAATCCAGGGAAATCTTCCTGAGTCAGCCAATCCTGCTTGAATTAGAGGCTCCTTTAAAAATATGTGGTGAGTTTTAGTTTTATCTGTCTGATTAGATGATTTACAGCAGCAATAAAAACTCATTTTAAAATATCAAAATGTTTTTTTTTTTGTTTGTTTTTTTTTTACCTACTTAACAATAAACGAAGCATGAACAATTTTAATTAAACAAATAAAGTATTTTATCTAAAAAATTCAGCTGTTTTTTCTCTTTTTAAATGAAAGGTATTCAGTTTTAGTTTTATTTTGGCTCGATTTGAAGAAAAATTTTAAAAAAAACTGTTTATAAAAACAGGATGCAGGTCTGTCTGTTTGAAAACACTTCGTATTAATACAGTAATTAAATAGGAAAATTCTTGAAAATGTTCGAATTTCATTTTAAGGTTTTCAAGGTTTGGAAAGTGTTGTGATTTCTGCATAAAATCCTTGAAAGTTTTTGATTTTCAAACTGCACAGATTGGTAATAAAGTTTGATTAAAAGCTTAAATTAACAGTTAAAACCAGATATTTTTTTCCTCTCCTGTTTTGTCCTAATTCATTCCTGAAGCTTTGAATAAAAGCTTACAGTGCTTACAGTGGGTTACAGTGCTGCAAAATGAAATTAAATGGAGAACAACTCGTGATAAAAAGAGAAAAGGGTTAAAATAAGGTTGAATTAGCTGTAAATGCTGCAAGCTGAGACTGTTTGACGTCTGTGTGCCTCTGCTGCCCCCTGCAGGCGATGTCCATGGTCAGTACTACGACCTGCTCCGACTCTTTGAATACGGAGGCTTCCCTCCAGAGAGCAACTACCTGTTTCTGGGTGACTATGTGGACAGAGGGAAGCAGTCGCTGGAGACCATCTGTCTGCTTCTAGCTTATAAGATCAAATACCCCGAGAACTTTTTCCTGCTGCGCGGAAACCACGAGTGCGCCTCCATTAACCGAATCTACGGCTTTTATGATGAGTGTGAGTACCACTTAGTGACTTCAGTGGCGTTGAGATGTAAAGGAACTGCTGCATGTTCATGCTTTCTCTGCTTCCAGGTAAGCGACGGTATAACATCAAGCTGTGGAAAACCTTTACAGACTGCTTCAACTGTTTACCTGTGGCTGCTATTGTAGACGAGAAAATATTCTGCTGTCATGGAGGTACGCCTGGTTCTCCTGTCACTCTTTAAAACAAGAAAAGAAGAAAAAGACTGAAACTGTTTTCTATTTTTCCTCCAGGTTTGTCTCCGGACCTGCAGTCGATGGAGCAGATCCGCAGAGTCATGCGGCCCACAGACGTTCCGGACCAGGGCTTGCTGTGCGACCTGCTGTGGGCCGACCCGGACAAAGACGTGCTGGGCTGGGGCGAGAACGACCGCGGCGTCTCCTTCACGTTCGGGGCGGATGTGGTGGCCAAATTTTTGCACAAACATGACATGGACCTAATATGCAGGGCACATCAGGTAGATTTTAAACGTTTCATCACGATGTGCTTTACTGTTCAGACATAGGATTTATGGAATATATTTAATTTATCTCATATTACAATCAAAATTTGGATCACTTTTGTGTTTTTGTAAAGTTGATTGCAGTTTTTTTTATTGTTGTTTTTCTTCTTCTGTGGCCTTCATGGTCATCTTTAAATATTTTATACCAGAAGGAGAGAAAACGTTATGAAAGCTGGAGATTCAAGATATTTTTAAACAGACAAAATTATTAAAGAATTCACATTTTAGGATTTTTATTTTCAGGTAGATCTTTAAATGTTTTCTGTTTTTAGTGATTTCCTCTTTGATCTCTTTGTAAAGAGACACAATATGTGTCTTATGTTTACAAAAGTTTTATGAATGTATTTACATGTGTCAAGGCTCCTGTAAAACTCCATAAACATTGAAATTTGGGCATTTTCCATGTATTAAAAATCAAATAATATTTAATATTTTCTATCCAATACTGAAACATTTGATTGATCTCCTGTTTTTATAAAGCTGTTTGCAGTTTCTCTAAAAACTATAAAAAGGTACAAGTGCAGCGTTCAAAATGTCTTTTCCTTATGGCCTTCCGGCCAAAAGAAGTCTTTAAATATTTTATACCAGTAGCAACAACAAAAAAACAGAATTTTTTAAACAAAATTATTAAAAGAATTTACATTTTAGGCTTTAAGGAGGACCTGTTGTGCAAAATTAAAATTCTGCATGTTTTTGTACTTCCATTTAAGTTTCCAAAAACAGCAAAGCACTTCAGTTAAAAAAAAACTAAAACATCCAATTTTTGGTAGTAAGTTCATGTTTTTATGGTGTCTGGAAAATGAGGCGTTTCAAAAATCTCTCAATCGTTAAGTTACTGCGTCGTTCCCTAGTAATCCAAGCTGAGCTCCAGCACATTTGGTCAGCTGCTGCACAATGGCTGCTGTACAACACAAGTGTTTTTTGTTGTTGACTTACCATCCAGACACCACTTGTTGGATTATTGCTGGATGTGCAGGAGTCTCCACTTCTGCTTTTCAAAGATGTACAGTTGTATAATTGTCCATCTATTTGCAGCCATTTTAAACATGCGAGTGTAAACATTGAGTTGGGGGGCGTGGCCATCAGCAGTAACAAAGTAACTGGACTTAAAGTAACAAAAAGCCCTAAAAACTTTTCAAACCTGTTCAATGAAACATCATAGTCTCATTTAAGGTGTTTAGCTTCCAGTGTTTGTAATTAGTTTGTGTATTTCATAGAAAATGTTGATTCTTACTTTTTACAGCTGACCTTTTCCAAACGTGGGAGAAACGTCTTGTTATAAGTAAAATAATCTGTGGAACTAGAAGTTTATCCATCAGTGTTAAGAGATTATTTACTTAAAACAAGCTCCTATTTCTTGCTGAAGAGTTACTTGTAAGTTTATTTTATTTAAATTTGCATTAGAAACAAGACCAAAAATACTGTATGTTGTATGTGCATCAGAACAGAGTTAATGTTCAAATTGTCCTTTACTGGTTTCAGGCAAAAATGAGCTGAATATTTGTTCCTGCAACTTCTTTACAGTCTATGGTTTTCATATGTTACAAATCCAAACCCAAATGATGTAGAAATGTCTAAAAAACTCTCTAAAATCCAGAAATATTAAGTTTTATGTAAAGGAGCTCTGATTAGGAGCTCTGTGTGATGGACGGTGAAAGCGTGTGTGTAATGTTTGAATTTGATGGAAAGGCATAATTAAGTTGTGGTTGCAGATGTGGCGACACTGAAACCTCTTGTGTTCCTGCATCTTTCTACTCATTAAAGCTGACAGAATTAAAAGGTTCTTACTAGTTTATGATCAGCAGTAATTTTCTAAAACTTCCCGTCTTCCTGAAGCAACTTCTGACTCTTTTTCTGTTCGCCTCGTTTTAGCTTCTTTTTTTTTTCCTCTCTCGTCTAAGGTGGTTGAAGACGGTTATGAGTTTTTCGCAAAGAGGCAACTCGTCACTCTTTTCTCAGCTCCCAATTACTGTGGAGAGTTTGACAATGCTGGTGCCATGATGAGTGTGGATGAGACGCTCATGTGCTCCTTCCAGGTAAAGCAGAAATTTCTTTAATATTTGCTCCCAAGCAGACAGATTCACTTTAGCTTAAAGTGTTCTGCATGTGCTTGTTCTCTGAAGGTCTTTCATCATTTTTGATCTATTCAGACCTCTAGAAAGCCGAACGTTGATTAATACAACACTGAATATTTAGTGTTTTCACATCGGATCGTCCGATAGAATCGGTTTGATAGAGGACCAAGGTTGCGACATTTGCTACCTTTTCAGCTGCTGCAGTTTGTTTTCACAATGTTCTGTGTCAAACCAAACCAAACCAAACCCTTTGAGAAATCTGCTCCCCTCCTCACCTGTAGGGGCGCTATGCTAAGAACTGCTTAAAGAAATGACACAAAAACTTCTGAGTTCAACTTCCTTCTTTATAAAATGTGAACAAAAATGGAGTAACATCAGATTTCAGTTTCTCTTTCTGCTTTTGGAGCGTTCTCTAGTTCAAACTGTCCCAAAGTTCACTTGAACTGAGACAGAGGTCTGCAGGTGGACCAGAGTTCGCTTTTTTAATCCACATTAGAGTTTAATCACGCAGGAAGGGGACTACAGCGCAGAGCATTCTGGGTAAATTCTGGGTAAATCAAACCAAAATAATGTGAGTCTAGCGCAAGAAGGAGAAATGTCTTGTGGTATTTTAACCGCTAAAATCTGACTCTACTCCAGTTTTTGTTTTCATTTCATGCTGAAGAAAGTTGTGCTCTGCGTTTTCTTCAGAGGTTTTTGTGTTGTTTCCTTTGGAAAACAAAGGTGCAGCGCCCCCACAGGCGGAGAAAGGAACAGATTGCACAAATGATTTGTTTGCGGTGTGAAATGTAGCAGCTGTAAAAGTAATATTGTCATTTTAAATGTCATGTTTTTATTGGCTGTAAGTGGAAAATCATCATACGTAGTAAAAAAATAAAGGCTTTAAAACATCCATCTTTGTGAATTAATCTGTGTTTTCAATAACTTTCTAATTTATTAAATGGCTTTCCTCTCCATGTTGTGTAAACTTTTGCATATTTTATGTCAAAAAGGCAAAGTTTGCATCAGCAAAAGGTCACTAATGAAAGAAGTTTGAAACTGATGCATCAAATTTTTTTGTAGGAGTTTTTTTATTATCCAGCAAATTTAATATGAACAACTTAAAAGGGAGTGTTGAAGTTTCTTTTTTTTAAACGAACTCTGTAAAGGTGGATTTGGAAAATGATTAAGAAAACATTTAAATGTTACCCACTATGCTGTCTCTGCTGGTTTAATTAAAGATTTTATTTCTTCTGCTTTGCAGATTTTGAAGCCAGCAGATAAGAAATTGTATCCTTATGGCGGCAGCGGAGGAGGAGGAGGTGTGGGACTGGGAAGACCCGTCACTCCTCCACGGAACGCAGCCAAGGCCGGCAAGGCCAAGAAATAACACGCGCTGACTTCCTCTTCCTACAATTCACCACCCTTCATCGTTCCAACACCTTTTTTTTATCATTTCTTCCTTCCTCTCTACCTCCCAAACTTGTCCCCTTCGTCAGCACTGAACAGCAACAAAGACAACCAGGGTTCAGTCGGGTTTTTCTCTCTGAATGAAACACTTTTTGAACGTTTATTTTGCTTTTTGTGTTGTATTTGTGTGGATATGTGAGCGAATGATCCAGAGAAAGTTGCTGTATTCACCATGTACTTTTCCCCCCTTTCATGTTCCTGTTTTCCTGTTTTTTATGTAAAGAAGAGTTGTTTTTTTGCCTGTTTATCACATAAATCACACCTGGCTGCAGGGCAGAGCGGATGGGGCCATGAAGAAGTAAGCTTGGGCTGTTTATGTTGAGGTCTGGCACTGTTTAATGCTAAACAAGAGCTTTTGTACATTAGCTGGGAGGCAAATGGGTGGAGATCACAGGTGGGTATAAGGTGAATTCACTAGATTTATTTTTCTTCTTCCATTTTCAGAACCAATCACATGAAATCACGATCATGGATGTGATACAGACGCTTGTTTTTGTAGATAACTGACACCAGAATGGTTTTTATTTTATTCTTTTCTCTCCTTGTTTTTAGTTTACTTGAAGCTAAAGATGAATAAAAGTAACCTTTAATTTGAAGTACATCATCATGCTCATCACTTATTTGTCAGTGGCTGCTTTTCATTTGTTGTGACTTTTAAACTAAAAAATATCTTTAAGATGTAAAATAACTGATAATTATGATTATTTTTTGCTCTGGATTCTGAACAGGTTTTGACTAGAGCTGGGCGATATGGCTTAAAAATAATGTTTAAAAAAATTAATTTTAATCAGTTTCTTTTCTCACTTACCTTTCTAAAAAATTATAAATTACAAAATATTTTCAAAAAGTGGCTTTTATTTCAATCAACCCTTGTGTGAGGTGTTTAATTACATGGATGTAGGCATAATATTAGTAGGAAAAAAACATCTTAAATTTATCAGCAAAAATTATCAGGATTTTTAGTTGGTGTTCATCAAAATGTGTTTGACCTGAATTCAAAGTCCAAATAAACTGCTTTAACATGCACTAAACAAAACGGCTGCTAAAGGAGAAATGCTGATTTTCCATAAATTAAACCGTTAAAATAAAACCCATTGATCGCCCAGCCCTAGTTCATCTATAATTTTGATAGATTTTGGTTTTTGTGTTCATCATCACATCCAAAGCTAATCAGAACATCTCGCACAAGCACAACTCCACATCAAACTGGGAACGTGAGGCGTTCATGAGTCCTTTAAACTTTTCAGCGTGAGTGAAATATTATATATTTAAAATAAATGTATAGGCTTATTCTAGCTTAACGTTAGCCTGGTTAAACGCTGCCTCTTCTTTACGCTTTGCTTCGTATCGAGGGTCTTTAAATTTTACCCAGTTGCTAATGTTAGCCCGTAAAGTACGGAATGCGCGCGATGAAGCTTACCGGAAATGACGTGCGCTGCAAATAAGAAGCGTCCTGCCAAACAAAAAAGCGTTCAAGGCTAAATATTTGGAAGTGCGACTAACACAAACTGAACGGCTTTTTTCCACTTTCTGTCGTCGCTAAAACTACAGGCAGACTAACGTGGCAGAAAATGACGTCATAGTTTGACCGGAGACGTCCCACCCGGAGCTTGCTAGGCGAGGCTAGCTTAAAGTTACAAGCGAAGCAAGCGTTTCTTCATTTTTCAGCTTTTAAAAACTTGTCTGCTTGTTTTAAAATAATAATAATGATCATTTAAAAATTATAGAGAATGACTGAATGCTTCTGACTGCGTTCCCAGCTTCCTGTGTCCTAACTGTGGGAAAAGAGCCATAAAAAGAATAACATTTAATATCAAATTATTCCAATCAACTGTGAGCCCTGGATATTATGGGGAAACGTTTATAAAGTTACACAGCACTAATTTGGTTTCTTTAGCCTGATACAAAAAAAAAAATGTGGGTGTTAATTTTTTTTAGTTATATTTTCACCCTGTAATTTATACATTTTTAAATGTACTTATTTCATCAGCTAATATATAAGTTCTAAATTAAATATTTAGTTGGAAATGTAAGCATTTAGTTTAAAAATTAAATATTTAGTTTTGAAAAAATTGTTTTAAACCAAAATATTTAGCTTAAACTGAAACATTTAGTTGGGAACTAAATATTTAGCTTTCTATATTATTTAATTCACAAGCTAAATAGTTGTTTTAAACTAAATATTCAATCCAGGATAAGATTTATAAGGAATAAGACGGACTTGAACTCCTGCATTTTTCTCCGACAAGCTAAATAAAGAAAATTATTGCTGTGAATTTTTTCACTGTGTAACTTTTCAAATGGCAGCCCGTAAGATATTCCTAATATTTAGTGTTTGTTTTTACGCTTTGCGTTTACTTGATTACACAGGGTGTTTCTGGTTAAAAGACAAATAAAAACTGAAAAAGCAGGATGCTGTAACTGTTAAATATTCCTCTCTGTGGAGCTTCAGGGTAATCTCACAGCCCACTTCCACCAGCCTCACCGCTTTCTGTCCTCCCACTGTTCAAATATAAACCTGCAGCTCTCTGTAACAGCAGGACAATAAGGACAGAGGATGGACAAAATAGACTTTAAATATCTCCTTTTGTGCATTTTTTTTAGTTAATCTCAACATTCTGCATAGTTTTGATATATTACAACCTCTTGTGTTGTGCCTGAGAAGTCACCAGACTTCAGTTTGTGCACATGTTCAATTCACATCCAGGATCAACTCAGGAAGTGAAATTTAGATAACAAGCAGGGAATCCAAACCTGAAGAGGAACTGCAGGGGAAATGGGTCCAATTTGGTTAATTTTGAAACAATCTGGCCACAGCATTAGTGAAATTCAGTGATTTGTTGTGCAGAAAGCTGTTTATTCTGATCTGTAAAGTTTCTTTTGTGCAAATGAAAGTTAGATTAAAAGAAAAAAAGTTTTTATGAGACCTGCAGAACTTTATGTCCATTTTTATTGTTTTTTTCATGGCTGTACAAACCGCAGCTTCGAACATCTTTCACCTTTTCCTTTCTGGTTTTGCTTCTCACCACCAGTCTTCTCAAAAATCTTCTTTTCTGTAACATGTAAGCTTAGGTAACTGAAGCTTATCGGTGTAGGATCTTTTTAATCAATCAGGGATGTTTTTGCACCATGCACTGTTGCTGGGTAGCTTTAGATCCATTACATGAAAGTTATTATGACTAAGATTAGATAAGACAATTACTATTAATGGTATTTTTATTTGTATATCTTTTTGTTTTCATCTCTGTTTCAAGGTAGAAATAAATATAGAGTTTATATATTTTGTGTCTGGGTTTTTTTTTGCATCTTATATTTGGAATAAGTATCAAAAAGTAATAACATTATGGTATAATAAGCATTTTCCCTCAAACTCAAGTCAAATTGAACAGAAAATTTTTATTTTTAAGTCTTGCCATTGGTTTTCTCTCGGACTTATGTCTTCAGTCAGAGGCTTCTTCAATTTTGCTGTAGTACAGACTGCTAAAGAAGATCCTTCCTGCCTATAGCCTTATCTATCTACAATAACTGAAGAATTTGAATTAATATGAGTTACAGCAACATTTAATTTCCCTTTTGGGTGAACAAAGTATTTTCTGTTGCAACATTTGAAAATGATTCCATCAAAAAGGTTAAAGTGACATGAAATGTTTAGGAGTATTTTTACTGCGCTGTCAATCTTTACTTGAGTGATTTTATTATGATGTATTTTTACTCGTACTTGAGTAAAATTTCTGGATTTTCTACCTGCTGAATGAAAAACAAACATTTCCACCCAAAATCCACCAGACACAGAAACAAACCTGCAGCTTTTCTTAAAGTTTCATGAGATTTTTTGTTGAAAGAAATTGATTTGGAAAATTTGATTTTCACTAATTTTGTTATTTTCTTCTTTCTTATATAAATTGTTGTAATTTTGGTTCTTAAAATACCAAAATTTCCACTTAACTTTATATTTTGGTCCATCTGAAGATGTAATTTTTAAATAGTAAAGGATTGGTAATCTCTACTTCAGCAGAGGTTTTACCAAATACTTTTTACTCTATATGTTGAAGTAGCACTTCTCTTACTTGAGTATAATTTTTGATATTCTGTCCTCCAGTCCAAATGAATGTACAACAGGGTGGATTCATTTTCAAAATGTTTTGGTGTATTTAATATTTGCATGTATGTCAACATTTAACAGATGCCAGGAGGAAGGAGTTCCTGTGACACTCTTTTGTGCACCTTGGATGCGGAAAATTAATGCAGCATTGAATGGAAATAAATCTGGTGAGGTCAAAGCCGTTCGTGTTTATAAAGAGATAAAATTCCAGGATGTGAGTTCATTAACTTGTTTATCCTGGGAAAACTGCTTAGCTTCGTGAGACACTTTCTCTTTAAAAAAAATTAAACTATTCTGAACAGAAACTGCTCTGCTGCCAACACAAACTTTCTCCTCCTTCACAATTGCTGATTGATTAAAGGGAATCATCAATCATTCGGTTCATAAAAACATTACTGATAGATCTTCCCTGCAGCTTTCTGGCCATGGAAACTCAAATACTTGAAATACTTTAGGATTCGCAGAGCCGCTACTTTGGTTTTCCAGTTCAAACTTGTTCACAGTATTGAAAAGTGACTTCCTGGCAAACATCCAGATCACAGCAAGTGCTTTTAAAGTTAAACTGTGACTCTACTGAAGGTTAAATCAGCCAAATGACTCAGTATTTATTGGCTTATTGTCAATGTAGGTTTTAAATATGTGATCTGACTGATCCGTTTCCCTGTTTGTGATTATTTGGAACAGGAGTGATGTGTCAGTCATGATTGAGGCAGCTGGATCTGCCGGCTCATTTTGAATGAACAGTCAAAGCTGATTCAGACGGGTTTTCATTTTGTGTCAGGAGTGAGTTCATTTTTAAAATAATAAATAATAATAAAAGCACCTGCTTTCGTAAAAGAAATAAATTAATTAGTTAATTAACGCGCGTCTTGTGAAGAGACGTTTAGGAGCCGACCGATTCAGTTATTTTTAACAAATGAAGCCAAATAATTCGAATCTCAGTAAACATACTGAATTCCCATCACTACAGCTCACTGTACTACAAGAGGTTCTCACCGTTCTCACCGTTCCCCCCACCCCCCAGCATGGGTGGCAACGCCCACTAACCAGCTGGCCAATCAGAGAGCTTGGAACGCTTTCCTTGGGTTACTGAAGTTGGCCTCAGCCAATAGGGAAATCCGTGGGCGTGACCATGAGTAGTTTGGTTGTGCTGGAGGTTTCTCATCAACTTTCGGCGATCTTTACAAAGCTAATTTACGACACATTTGAAACATTTTCCTCCCGTTTTACTGGAATGTCGTGCGTTTGTACTTTTCGGGATTCACACCGGGATTTGTTCGTTTATCGCCATCCAACCAGCCAGGACACGGAGTGACGAGCAGACTCCATTTTCGTTTGCAGCTGATCGGCGGAGAGCTAGCTACTTTATGTTGCTAGGCTAACTTTCGCTTCCAGGCGTTAACTTGTCTACCTGGCGGCACTTTCGTCGACTACAAAAAGACTCCCAGGTGGGTTTCAATTCCCGCATCTTCTATTGAGGAGGCAGTTTTAAAT